CAGCATTCAAGGTGCCCTTGCGAGGACAGGGCTGCCGAAAACCGAATGTGGCCGTGATCCAGGAATAGGACCATTCAACGACGCGCGTCCCCGCAATCTACCAGACAGTCAGATCGTCTGAAGGCACGAGGCCACCAAGGAATTCTCCGAAGTCGAGGGTGTTTACGCTAACTCACAAGCTCGTGCTTTTGGTCTGGCTGGCCCTTGTCTTTGCAAATCGCAGTCCATCTCAACATACCAACCACAGCGTTGCGGTGAGTTCTTGACACAAGCTCAGAGAAGGTTTCAATGATCAATGGCGTTGAACATGCTAGCAGCACGCATGAACGTCTCGAGGACGCGTCGAGACTCGTTTGAAGTCGGAACGAGGTGGTCACAAACTTCGGAAACCAGTCTCAAGCCTAACCAAGCCATCGGGTATTGTTTCCACCCGCCGTTTCCGGTGCCCTCCCAGCCGTCCGTCGCCCGAGTCAGAAGTCGGGAGGCGCCCGAAATACCAACATCAAAACGCAAATCATGAGACGGGCTCCGGTCTGTGGTTCACAACGCCAAAAAGATGGACGATCAGGGAATCGAACCCTGGACCACTCACATGCTAAGCGAGTATTATACCACTAAACCAATCGCCCACGGGATGATCTAGCCCGGACTTGAACCGGAGACCTTCAGTGGAAGCAGGCGAGGGCATTCGGAGATGCTCTCGAACTGTTAGACTGACGTGATAACCAACTACACCACCAGACCAGCTGTTGTTGTCAACGTCGTGTGGGAGGCCCTCCTTAGGGCAGCGCATCGTGAGCGAGGCGGGACCCGGTACGACGGACGAAGCGGGTGGGTGGACCCCAGGGTCTTCGGACCAAGCAACCGAGATCCAAGCGACTGGGAAAAGTGGCGCAAACGCATGTCGAGAGGGTCACAGAAAGAGACGACATTGAAGGTTGAGAAGAAGAGTTCAGTTGCTTCTGGACCCTCATGCTATATCTGCAAGAGGCTGACTCGAGAATTTCCAGACCTGAACGGCCAGAGACGAAGAGGTTGCGTGTTGAACCGTAGACGTGTCTCACGCACGACTAGCGCGACAATCCGGACGAGGTCGAAGATGTGGGGGAGTGGGTGAAGGCCCATCCAGGGCATATATCCCGCACTCCGTCCAAATTGTTCGAAGATCGTGGCGGACATAGCTCAGTTGGGAGAGCGTCAGACTGAAGCGGATCTCGATCCGAGAAACTTCATTCCATCAATCTGAAGGTCGTGTGTTCAATCCACACTGGCCGCATCTTCATTTTTCGTCGTCGTGGCACGACATCTTTTTGCCGGTTGTGGTGGTTGGTTTTGGTGATGGATTTTTTGATGAAAAGGTGTTTCGGGAAACATTTTGCTCGGCGTGCGGCTCAACTGCGCCACGTCACGTCAGGGCGGCCAATTTGAGACCGGGCCAGGCCGTTCCTGTGGCTGAGCCGCACCGAGCGACAGACACCTCAAGCTGGCAAGTGCCCTCCCTCCACTGACTGGGTAGTTGTTATCATACCAAACCGGCGGACTTGTATATCACCCGATGGCCTGGGAACAAGCACAACCGCATCTCGTGGAAGGCATATACCGGCGGGCCGACGGCGACGTTGTTATTTTTGACCTGCACCGCCCTTTTCTACGTCACTGCCAATATGGCCGTGACTGGTTGCTGCTCGTCCGGTTACGTGGCCGACACTTGAGATCGGGTTCAGACGCAAAAGTTCAGGTGTTCGTTTGGATTTCCATTTGAGGAAGAGCGCGCAATGCTCGTCGCGTCCAAAGGCCATCCCCAACTAGTTCCGGTCAGTGCCTTCGGCAAACATCAGCTCAAGTCACGCATTGCGGTAAGGCCGCAAAACAACGTCTATCGGAGACTGATGCGGGCCATCTGGCGAAGCCGCTGGACGGACCGACGACGCCCGAACCACCTCGTGTTTTCAGATTTTATCCAGTTGCCAGTAGAATGGCAGCAAAACAGGTTGTTGGTCGCCACATGGGAGGGAGTTAGGTATTCTTCCACGGGATATTGTTTCTGCACGCGCGCGCACACGCACTCCTTGTCGGAGCCGACGACGGCACCGCTCCCGCCTGGGGGTCGAATGCGTAACTGCAACAAGCTTCTGGCCGGATACCGTCTTGGCGGGGAGAGACCCGCATGGTCATGGGTAGCTGTAGCATAAGTGATGAGCATATTTCGAATTCCATGGCTCGACGGCGAGCCGACAACCGCCTCGACTATCCTGAGGCGGGGATCCCAAAGAGCGAGAACGACGGCCAGGAACAAGCTGGCAGGCCGCGACCGTGATGACCGGTTCCCTGACATGAGCTGCGCGTCGCACGCACTCCCAAGGTTGCGGGAGCTAGGTTCTTAACGTTCAGATTACCGTGCAGATCCATTCGATTCTTCGTCGGGTTGGGAGCACACGCGGCCACCAGGGCAAACTAGTCTGCTTGAAGCACAACACTAGCAGGAGTGGGCGATCAGTGAGAACAGCCATCCCTGCGGCTCACAATGGCGGCAGTGGTGGACGGTTGCTGGAAGGCATGGATGGAACCTGCCGGCGACGATGACAGGCAAGCAAACAGCTAAGCATTGCGGGTTGCCGGCTAATCCTTCCCTCGCGGAGGATCACCCCTGTGACTATTATTGGACATCAATCTTGGCAGGCCATGCGTTTCCCATGGAAGCCGCGGGCTTCGAGGCATTGGTTCTGTGTGTTGCCCGGCGCAGTCAGGAGCACGGGGATTTCGAGGTGCAGGTTTGATCGGTCGCAGGGTAAGGGACGGGGGATGACGACGGCGCCTCCATACCCACACGACCCAAAGTGGACGGAGATGGCGACGACCATGACCATGACCACGAGCGGTGCCTGGCGGCAGGTTCCGAGACACAGGGCTGTAGTCATGTCGTGGGATGCCTGGAGTCGTCAGGACGGTTGTGAGAAGCGGCTCAGGCGAAATCCTTGGGCGACGACTGGTGTCTGACTCTGGGTTTAGAGTTTAGAACTTGGCTTGCAGGAGATCTATAGGTAAGTTGGATATCGAATCTCGGATTTGCCAGGACGTTGCATTGGTGGGGGGAGGAGGGTCGCCGGCAGGAACAACGAAGAACAGGACCGGGGGAGATGCGAAGAAAAAGGAGGTCCGCGCAAGCGTCGAAGAAGCTTACTGCGAAGCGTATCGTTGGTTGTCGTGGGCGGCGCTTCGAGAAGGTGGGTTGAAGGTCAGAAGATGATGCGAGATGGGATGAAGTGGAGGAGTTACGCTACACTAACAATTTCTGGCGCGTCTCGGTCAGTAAGCGAGCCGAAAGAGCCCCTGTCGAGCCTGTATCCGTGCCAGAAGGGGCAAGTGGGGGAGGTATACCGAGGTATCTCATTGGCTGGGTGATGTGGGAAATTACCTACTTAGGTACTCGGGATAGGTACCTTACGGGGTGTTAGAAGGGGCTGCCCCTTGGAAGGGATTACCTAAGACGCCTGTCTCAGACCTCGTTACCTCGGATTTTGGTTACAGAATACCTTATCTCGATCTCTATCTTATCTTTAATCGCCAAATCTACCTAAGGTACACCTTAACGATCAAAGACAACAACCAAACAATGACAACGACTAGAAGAAACCTGACAAACGGACTACTGCCTGTCATCGCCACCCACCGCAAGGACGGTTGAATAAAACAAGCGGCCCAGTAAGAACATGTTTGGGGCTCTGCTCTTTTGCACGGGTGGGCAGCAAGCTAAAATCCGGAGGTGGCTGCTCCCGAACGACTCCTTGTTGACCATCCATGTTTCAGATGCGACCTGGCAAGTCCGCGAAACCGCCAGAGACGCTCAAGGAAGCAGAAGTCGATCACGTCCCGGTTCGGTCCAAACTCCCAAACCCTACGAATTTCACCGCAACGTGCCCGGCCCAGGCGCAGAGGTCAAGCTCAGCGGTCCTTGCCTTTTTTTCTCTTTCTCTCTGGGAACGCGCTGTCCTGGGTCTCCATGGAGGAGCCGGGTAACCTTCCACACCGGCGCCCTGTAGGGGTTCCTGATTGTACCTTGGGTCGCGGTCATCCTCGCCGGGGTGAGGCCGGGTTCACAGTAGAGTCTCCAAGGCCCGACTCGATGTGAGGTCGGGGTTGGCTTGCGTAGCGTCGTGGGTTGCTGTCGGGAAGGAAGCGGGAAGCCCTGCTTTGCGTTGCATGTCGTCTGTGTTTCTGGTGTGTGCGCTTGCGCGCGCCGGCCGGCTTGCTGGAGGTACTACGATCCCAATGCTACAGCAAGCATCGATTTCCGATTTTTATCCTGCCTTGACTCTGCTTCTTCCCAATTTTTCCTTTTCTTTCTTGTCCTTTGGTTCCTACTTTACTGTTGTGGTTTCCCGTCTCTTTGCTCGGTTTCCCGGTTCTGTTTCTTCTTCGACTCGGGTGCTTTCGACAAGACATATACCCAAGCAACCGAACAAAAACCAAACTCGACGACGACGCTGGACGACGCTTGAGGGAAAAAAAAGAGAGAGAAAGACAAAGTGTGAGAGGGAACTACGGGAAACGGGACCGCGGCTAGGAGTTCGGAATCCCGATCTTGGACATTCGTCACTCGTCCTTTTGACTTTTCTGTCTTCCTGGGCCGCAAACCTTTATGCCATCATCGCATCGTCGACCCTACGCAGGGCCTGGCTGGTAATCTTTGATTCTAATGGCCAATGTCTTGGAGACATTCCTAAGTCGTCACACTTCCCTATACGCCCCGGGAAGTCTCTATCAACAGACGACTCTCCTCTCTACGACCTGATCTCGATTGGATCTCGTACTCGACACGATTTCGACTCGAACCCGAATCGAATCGACACCGCTCGCCCCGCCCGGCGTTGTTGTACTTTTCCTTGTTGGCGCGTTGGATTGATTGATACCCTGTTAGACTTGCTTTTCTCACTTCTTTCTCCTTTGAGGATCGTCTCCTCGTTCTATCACTCTCGAGCATCAACACAACCTCATCTCCGATGAATCAGTCAGCAACCATGTCGTCATCCATGCCAATGGAGCTCAGCTTGCCCCAAGTGGTGCCGGGAGGTAAGCACTTCAGCTACTACGTCGCCATCAGCGCGATCCTGGTCGTGGCGTGGCTGTTCCAGTCGCGCAAGCAGAAGCTGCCTCTGCCGTTCTACAAGGCGGCCAAGACAAAATGGATGTTCGACGCCGAGACGTTGATTCGCGACAGCTATGGCAAGGTAGGTCGTCATTCGTGCGCCGGGGTGGACGCGCAGCTGACCTCTTAAAGTTCCGCGATACCGTCTACCAGATCAAGGCGACAGAGGGCCTGCAGGTTCTCATTCCCGCGAGTCTCATCGGCGAGCTGAGAAGCCTGCCGGAAGACATCCTCAGCGCGACGGAGGCCGTTGACGAGGCCATGTTGAGCCGGTACACCAACTTCACGCTGGGCCCCCACGCCGACTTGTTGTCGACGCTTGTCCGATGCAAGCTCTCCCAGAACCTGGCCAGGCTCGTGCCGCAGCTGAAAGGCGAGCTCGAGTACGTCGTGGCCACCGAGTTTCCCGAGTGCAGGGGTATGTCGCGCTTCAAACCTTGAGAATGTCGCCTCGCTTTGCTAACAAGCCCAAGACTGGACACCGGTCAAGTTCCAACCGTTCGCGCTGCGAGCCATCGCACGGATCAGCGGCCGCGCCTTCGTGGGATCCGACATCAACCGCCAGGAGAAGTGGATGGACATCAGCATCAACTTCGCCATCCATGTCTTCGTCGCCGTTGTCAAGATGCAGCTGTTCCCCGAGTGGGCGCGGCCGGTTGCGCAGTACATGGTGTCGGAGCTGCGACAGATCACGAAAGACATCGACCTCGCCAGCAACATGCTGAAACCCGTCATCGAGGAGAGGCTGCGTGACATGGAGATGCCCAACTACGAGGATGCGCCCGACGACCTGATCCAGTGGCTCGTGGAAGCGTTGCCCGCGGAGGAAAAGGTAGACGTCAGAGCACAGGCGCACTTGCAGCTCATTCTGGCGGCGGCGTCGATTCACACGACGAACAACCTCGTCACCGACTGCATCTACGATCTTGCGGCCAACCCAGAGGCGCAAGAGATGTTGCGCGAGGAGGCGCATCAGGTGTTGGTGGTTGAGCATGGGTGGGCGAGGAAAGAGAGCATGGCCAAGCTTAAGAAGCTCGACAGCTTCATGAAGGAGACCCAGCGCTTGGCTGGCAACATCAGTGAGTCCCTTAGCCCTTCCTTGTATGTCATCAAATGTCTAACCACAGCGCAGCCTCCTTCATCCGAAAGGTCATCAAGCCCATCCACCTCTCCGACGGCACACACCTGCCCTCAGGCACCAAGCTGCTAGCACCACAAGCCGGTATCTCCCACGATGAGCGGTACTTCGAGAACCCGGACACGTTCGACGCGCTGCGTTTCTACAAACTACGACAAAAGTCCGACGAGGACGCCAACAGGTGGCAGTTCACCAGCATCAGCGACACCAACATGAACTTCGGCGCCGGCAAGCACGCGTGCCCCGGTCGCTTCTTCGCGGGCAACGAGATCAAGATGATCCTGGCCTACTTCCTGCTCAACTACGACATCAAGCTCAAGGAGGGCGAGACGAGGCCGAAGCCGATGGTCATGGTCATGAGCAAGTCGCCGGATCCCAACGCCGAGATCCTCTTCAGGCGGCGGACGGCGGCGGCGTAAGGGCGCGGCGCTTTACATATATACACACACACAACTACGAAGGATAAACCAAATCTCCAAAGGGGAGACGGTAATGAGACGAAGAAAAAAAGGGCACAGCGCCATATCATGGACAGTATCCCGTGCACACAGACACGTACACGGAGGTGAAAACACACATATATATAACAACACGAAATCTTTCCGGCGTCGGGGCCTGGAGCTCCTGGGTCTTTTGGATGGGCTAATTGGAGGCTAAAACTACCCATGGAGGAGATACCACTGTACATTAACCAACAAACCACACATATTCCATCACCTACCCTAGTCATGGCCGAGGAGGCGGCTACATTTTAGAGGCGCGAGCGGTTGTTTGAAGTGCGCATTTCTATCTCGGCCTACGGGCGAACAAAACAAATACATGAGCTGCATCGTATCCTGAGTAGCAATGCCGGTGGTGAGAATGGAGCTGGTTGTGGATGATAAGCTGTACAAATGGCTCACTCATCAACAACAAGCCTTGTTGGCTAAGTGGTATAGCGCCTCACTAGTAATGAGGAGATCATGTGTTCGATTCACATACGAGGCAATATGAGACTCAAGAGTTCGTCTTTTGCGATGGACCACGATCTTTTTTTTGGCGGTTGGATGAAATATGCTCAGTTTTTAACTCTAACAAGCGCAAAACAGAGTCGTGGAAAGAACTACCTTTTAGAGTTAAGGAACCACCGCGGCTTCCCCACCCCCCGTTTCAAAGCTTCACCGAAACCTGCGACCGCGTCACAAAACCACAGATAACCCAGCGGCTCACCTTCGTCGGGTCTTCGCCGATGCGTTTAGCCACTTTCACCGCCTCAAGTCAAGCCACTCACTCCCCGTTTGATTCACCTTGCATCAAGCAGATGATCGTAAAGTGCTGTTTCTCTTGCAGCTGCCCTTTGGTCTAGCTTACCCGTTTAATCGGGGTCGTAGGGCTGCGTTAGCTGTTAAGCTGTCTAGGCAGCTTAGCTGGTTTGGGTTACTCCTGATCCATACCTGTCGTGAGAATACCTCCATCTCTTTTAACGCCAGACGAGAAGCTTGATGAGATTCACGACAATAACGCGAGTGCGATGACGACGAACAACAAGCGGCGACCATCCAAACAACACAAACAGCCTGAATCTCTCAACCTCTCCGAGGAGATGGCCGACCCCCGACCGGCACTCAATCCTGACCAGCAAAAAATCAGGCTGAGCATCACCAACCACCCCTCTCTCTACACCATCATGACGACGCCTCTCTCACACACACCTCCATCCGCGATGCAGCGCAGCCCACGGCGCGAGCCTTTCGGGGCCTGCCGTCGGCGACAGATGATGACCTTTCGTCCAAAATTTGAAAAACGTGGCACCAATCCCTCCCCTCGTCATCGTCGCGGAACATGACCGATCAATGTCTTCATCGTTTTGGAAATTCCAGAAAATTACCAAAAGGCTGCGTGCGACAAAAGAGCCCGACGTAAGTAGGCGCAGGCAGTCTTGTACGTATGTATATTGGAATTGTCAATTCTCTTTCGCAGTCTCAGCCCTACGGCATCCTGATTCGCTCATTCGCGAAAGGAAATTCCGATATGCACTCCGTCAGCCGTTCCGAAACCCCGTGTGTGAAATACCATTCCGTCTCGTCACCGCATGTTTTTTTCCCTTTGCGTTGTTGAAGTCTGGTTGGCCATGTTCCGGGTTATGGAAAGTCGTGATAGGTCTTGTTTCCGCTCGTTGGAAACAGAAACCTCGAGAGGGGGGTGCATGGCGGGTTGTAGCCCTTCCCTTCTTCTTTCTCCCCCGACGCCTTGCATGTAAGTCTCTGCGCGATTCGCTCGGCTTCCGGGAAAGAGTCAACATTGACAATTTGTGAACAGCAAAAGAAACCCCGCGTTGGTATTGCGATACGTCGCATGGGAGGGGATGATATTATTCCATGCAGCCGAGCGGGACCGCCTTGGCGCGTTGAATCACATGCTGCCGCTCCCGCATCTCTGACTCTTTGCAGAACAGGCTGCATTAGCCTCGAGCGATAGCGAACATGTACCTGTACACGCGTGAGGTGGTCGACAGTGGAACTCGGCCGTTCTTCGCTGGTTCGCGATGGCTCGTCCGAGCGCGCGGAAACATCAGCCGAACGGTTTCTAGCTTCGCCGTCGGAAGCTAAGGTGAGATGGGACGTAGCGTCGACTGCACGATACCGAATGTGAATGATACTCGTTTTTCTTCTTTAGTATTGACAATAAAAGTATATCAAGTCAGCCCAGCCCTATGAAACTTGATTCCGACATGCCGCCTCTTCATTACTTGACAGTCTTCAAACAAAAGGGTATATGCATACTGATACAAAACTAGAATCCAACGCCATCACAAACCCTCATACCAACGCCGTGGTATACCCGCCATTGTGCCCAATAGCGACAAGTTAAGTACGCTTGACCAACGTCTTGGTTGACAAAGCAACAAACAGCGGTCTTCTTTCTCGATCCATCGTATGCCTCAAGAAAGTTGCCCTTCGCCACCCTCCATGTACGGACTACGATTCATCACAGCCGTGACAAGATGCGTCGCCGGCTGGGGAACGCCACTGGCACTGGTTGACCGGAGAAAGTCTTCTCGCCTTTTGACAGCGCCATCCCTCCACCAGTAGAAAAGAACATCCTGCTGCCATCGGTGCAAATTGGAAATTCTCAACCTCGCTTCATGAATAAACGTGGCATGCAAAAGCTCGACGGACATGGGCGATGTTCGCAGTTGGTGTAGAAGCCAACGGGTAACAAAATCCGACTTGTCGTCTCCTTTAAATTCGATCATCAGTCTAGATATGGCAAGCTCCTTCTGAGCCGCTTGCAACTGCGACTTCTTGGCCGGATGGTTCGAAGAGAGCCTAACAACCCGTCGCAGGTCGTCTAGGGCTGTCAGAGGCCTGGCCTGAAGAAGATGGTCGGGGCAGGATAAAAGGTCGGGGAAGCGGTGGTGTGCAAGACTCTTCGAACTTGGCCACGAATCGTCAAGAGTCATGTCTTCTCCGATGTCAGGGTCCAGAGCGTAGGCTATCATATAAGAGGGGTGTTTCTTCATCGCTCCGTTTTCTTCGCAAACTCGTTTCAACCTTTTTACTTCTTCGGCTAGTCGGTCGATCTCTCTACGCCTCTCGCGTTCTTGATCGGGAAAGTCATTGATGAAATGCTCCTCTTCCGGACTCAGGGTTTTGCCAGCGGCCTTTTTCACTCCCATGCCGTACGCATATTGCTCATTAATGAGGACTAGCTCGTCATAGTCGTCCTGGGCGTTGGTAAAGTCTCCAGTGGCACATACAAGATCTTCCCACAGCGGGTGGGCTTCTTCCGTCGGTCCGTTCCGAGATATGCCCATCAAGTCGTGCGGTATGTCTGACAGATATTTTGGCTCATCGTCGTCCGAGATCTCCTTTTCGAACTCTTGCGCAGCACCTGTGGTTCCAGCTGCAAGGGCGCTGAAGAAGCGGGTCTCGATATTATTGAGGTCTTCCTCTTTTTTGTCGAGATTGATCTCCAGGCCTTCATAGTATGATTCTCGGGAGTAGTACTCGGTGCGAATGGATTGCATATCGGCAAATTTCTTGTCCAGAACGGCGTCTAGTGTGTCGAGCGTCCTCTGCTGGCCCCTGATGAGGATGGGGCGGACCATGTTCATGAAAGCGTTGTCAGCAGCGTCTTTACGCCGGCGCAATTCGCGGAGATGCCTGCGTCTACCAGCCATATCCTGCTTGATGTCGTTGACTTGCTGACGTTGCTCTTTCATCCGAACCCACAACGATTGGACAAGGTCGACGGAGGTAGCTGTCGAATGAACAGAAGATGCATCGGACTCCGAGCCAGGGACAGGACTGCGGCCATTCTTTAGACGGGAAACTTGGTTCGTGATGACCCTCGTGATCTTCTTTCTGTTCTGGTCGACTGCCGTTCTCGATTGAACCGTAGGCATAAGAGGAGGAAAAGAGGCTCGGTTTTGGTGATCGAAGGGGTCATCGGATTCTGTATCCTGATCGTAAAAGTCTTCGGCTTCATCGGAACTGGTTGCGGAATCCACTGACGAAAGTCGCCATGAATGCGACGAAAGCGATGGACGAGAAGACGACCGCAACGTAGGGGTGTTCACGATGTTGCGTCCCAGCTTTGCGTTTGGAGGCGGCGGAGGCGGCGGTGGTGGTCGACGGGGATGTGCCATTCTTGTCCTTGGCGGTTTGAACCCCGGAGGTGGATGGGGAGGCGGCGGTGGAGGAAACTTGGGTATCCGCGGTGTCGGCTCATTCTTGCGAGGCGGTAGTCTGCGAATCGTGGGGCCATCGTGAGGGTGTTGGGGAGCTTCAGGAATGGATTCTGGAGACGAAGCAGCCAGCCGATCAACAGTATTATCTGGTTGAATCGATGGAGATGGAGGAAGACTCAGCGACGGTGTCGGGACCAGCTCGATGTCGACGCGATCTTCTTCCGCGTCAAATGACACGTCACACTGGCTGGAGAGGCCATGGGTTGAGGAGCTCAGAGGTAATGACTGACGGTCGAAGTCACTGGTGGCCATGACGACGAGCTAAGGTGCGTACTGATCGTGGTATTGTTCCATTATCTGCCACGAGCTTGAACTCGATGGCAACGACGACGAGTCCGATGAGGGAGGGAGAGAAAAGAGGCAGTATTTTCGGAAATGGTAGACTGTTTGCACGGGGCGACATGGGAGCGACAGAGAGTGAAGCGAGCAGAGCCTCCCGCTCTGTTTGTTGCGTGTTCGTACCGCGAAGAAAGCAGGCTGGGCTGGCTCCCTTAATTCTTCCTACCTATCTTGGGGGGACACGCGCTGCGGCAGGGCAATACTCATGCTAATTTGAGACCTATGCATATCTGACCGACTCCCGACAATCAAGACCCGTGGACGTGTACGACAGAGCTTGGCTGACCGAGAAGCAAGGCGAGGAGAAAAGGAATGAGCTTCTAAATTTCAAGCATCTCAGGGCACGTTTTTGTTGGTAAACGCCCCCGGGCCCGCGTCCACCTACCTTGCCGGCACTAGTAGATTTCGAACTTGGGGGAAAGATCCCCCCCTGAGCACCACTTTCCCACGGGAGCTTGGCCTGATTAGTTTCCATTGGACGCCGGTGTGGGGGCCTTCGGCGCCGGACGGGGGTCCACTGGCAGGTGGACATCGGGAAGGTGGAGTGGACACTGGAGGAGTCACCTCACTGACAACAGCTTCCATAGCCCATAGGTAGGCAGGTTGTAAGCGCGGGGTTATCTCAAGCGTCGTAGGTGGTGGGGATGAGCCACACCAAAACACCATACCTGCACGCATCCACAGCCTGGTTTCCTACTGCGTAGTTACAATTCCCTTCCCTTCGCTACCGCCTTGTACCAGTACCATGACTCCATCCAACGGCCAACGAAGCTCCTTTGGGCCTCCATACGGCAGGGGTCGGTCGTATACTGCGCCAGAAATCCCCTTACCCGGGGTTTGTCTATGAGACCACCACCGCACGGCATCCAGCTGGCCTCTGTGTCGTTAGGTTGCTTTTCTCCACGTTGGGTGGAATACCGACCTGCCTACCTGATGTAGAGCGAGCCGCTGCTTCGTCTGCTTCTTATCAAGGGTAGAGGGTAGATTCGGGTGGGAGACTCGGCATTCCACACCCTTTTTGTCCTCGCCTTCTCCGTCCGTCTTTCCATCTTCCTCCTCTCATGCTCAAGCTTAGGATCTTCACCCTCATTCTTCGAGCTGAGGACCGAGGTTTTCTATGCATGCCCATGCGGGACGAGTGCTATCCCACACCACTCGGTTGAAAGCCTGCGCCAGTAAGATCTCTCGGGATACGTCACGAGTTCCCGCGCAGCTGCTGTCACCAATTAAGCCGACGTCCTTTGCATTTATCCTCCGTACAACCCCGAATCGCCTGTCGACACACCTGATTGTCTCTTCTCTCGCTTCGCTTCGCCTCGCGCGTTGCGGCTCAAATCTTTTCTATCAGGACCCGTTTCGTCCCCTCATCTGACTCGTCTGAATTCCTTCTTCCGATCCGCATTTTCATCTCGTTACACTTTGGTGTAAACACGCCATGCCACTATGCCTAAGCATAGCTCCAGCAAGCAAAAGTCCTCCAAGCAGGCAAGTGCTTGGAGCGAATGGGTATATTCTGATGAGCATGGTTGTCATTACTGCTACAGAACATTGAAGAATGGTAAGTCACACGCGTCCCGCCTCAATGTATACGAAAACTCATCATCGTAGGCGAGGTCGAGTACCAGTGGGAAAATGTAGCTCAGGCTTCGTCCGCCCAAGAACACCAAGATGAGACTACTCCTCGTGGAATAGAGCAGATCACGGAAGATGTCCACAATCTGTCCGTTGCAGACGAGCCCGAACCAGAGGACCCTGAAAGTGCCTATCGCCTGGAGTCCGATCCAGCCGATTCCGGGCATGGCCCCGACAGTGGCTACGGCTATAACTTAGGCTCGCAAACTGGTGGCTATGAAACTGGCGGCTATGGTAGGCTCACACATCGCATTCTGCTCTCCATCTAACCTGTCCGCAGAAGCTCGCAAGACGTCCAAGAGCAGACGAAAGGGGAAAACCGTATCATACGCTGAACCGGATCCTCCAGACCCAAACCCAGACGACGTGGACCCAGACGATGTGGCGCCCATGGATCCCTTCTACGGCGCGCGTAGGGGCACGGAAGCAGAGCATCAGCAGGGAGAAGGTAAGGCAGCCGTCGTTGCTGAGAAACACTCGCTGATGACAGCTAGCTCTGCCCACTGAATCAGACTACAGCCAAACAAATGGCTATGATCGTAAGTCAGTCGAGCTTATGACATGACCAAAGCTGACAATAACAGCCAATGCGCAACAGGACTATGACGCTCAGTTGACTGAAGCCATGAACACTAGTGACCAGCACAACTTCGGGTACCCTGATGAAGGGGAATCATCAACAGATCCGGCATACGGTATGTCAACAACCTGAGTCTGTTGGCTTTACTGATAATAGCAGGAGCCTATTCTGAAGAGGCCGAAGATGACGGCCAGTCGACACCTAGAGCTGGAGGTCCCGTGCATGACAGTGAGCTTGAACACGGACAGTTGGATTCTCGTAAGTTTGCTGAACCACGGCATACTGCTTCTGCTGACCAAGAAAAGGTTTCAAAGTCGAGCCCTCCAAGAAGTTCAAGCAGGGCGCAGTATGTATACCGGCGTTTATAAGTCTCATGTACGGTGCTAATGTCGTAGATCTTCAAAGTCGTTTGGTCAGAACCGCAAGGGGTCACGACGAACAACACACTCGTAACCGAAAAGAAATTGATGAAAGACCCTTACGGCGGTAGTTTCTACGTCGGCTCTCGGAGATTCATCGTCGTGGCCACGGACAAGGGGCATTCCACCTGCGTGTAAGTCGCCCACCGCCTCATTCTACCAACTTCACTAACAACGTAGACCAATCCTTACCTACCAAGGCCGAGGATGCGGTAAGCCGGGCGTTCATCCTATGAACCACGGCATCATCCACGAAAAGAATCGCCATGCTCAGATGCTCCCTAGAGAACCGGAGCTTGGATTCGAACCAGTGAAGGCGAAACTCACCGTCGAGGGAGAGCGTCTCCAAAAGGAGTCTCGCGTCAACTACGCCAAACTCACCACGATTGAACACAACATCAAGGTGTTCTTTATCGGAAGCGTCGTCAAAGACGAAATCCACTACATCAGGGATGCAGTTGATTACTGCTGGGAGCGCAAGAGCTGATGGATCCATCCTGATGCCGACTCCCATTCAAACGTTTTGGCCGTCATCGCGACGGCCACTCACAATGATATATACGTGAGAGATTACTGTTCTCTCTGCCTCAAGAATGACAATCTCCTATCTATCCGGATGGCGTCTGGATTTCATTCATGATACGATTTATGACATTTCCTGAAACTTCCTTTCAGCAGGATATCCATAGCATTGGCCAAATGACAGCGATGGACACAGACCACGGAAGACTGTATTTGGATCTCATTTATCCGTTGTTTTTCATATCATCTAAGTCATCAATCATACCATAAGAGCTGCGCCTCAATACCCTGGTCAACCGTGCCTTGCATGCTGAAATCTTGCACATTACGATGAAGACAAAATGCAGTGCACAGCGCAGTGCAGCTTTCGGACCCCACGTTCAGGTGTGGGTCGGTGAATCCGGGGCTAGTGGACAGCCGAGGCTCGGTATCTCTCTCCCCGCAAACGTCACCGACCGGGGTTCGCGTGTAGCAGCTCCGGGCTATAATTCCGGACCTCCCTCCACTTTTGGAACTTCCCATTGACATACCCATTCTTCAATCGCAATAATGGCGGAAGCACAATTGGAAGATTTCCCCTCTCTGTTCTCCCTCAAGGGCAAGGTCGCCGTCGTCACGGGCGGGTCTCGCGGCCTGGGCCTGCACGCCGCGTCGGCGTACGTGAACTTCTTTCTCTCAGATCAATCGAATTCCGCTAACAGAGAGACGTAGTTTCCTCCAAGCCGGAGCTTCCAAGGTCTTCATCTCCTCCCGCAAGGCCGACGCCTGCGAGGAGGCCTGCAAGGCCCTCAACGCCCTCCCGAACCGCAGCCCCGGCGCCGTCGCCATCCCCGTCCCCGCCGACGCCGCCGACATCAAGGGCGTCGAGCGCCTGCTCGCCGAGGTGAAGAAGCACACGGACAAGGTCGACATCCTGTTCGCCAACGCGGGCGCCACGTGGGGCGAGGCCTTCGACACGCACCCCGACAACGCCTTCGCCAAGGTCATGGACCTCAACGTCAAGGGCGTCTTCAACACCATCCGCCTCTTCGCCCCGCTGCTCGAGAAGGCCGGCGGCCCCGCCGACCCGGCCCGCGTCATCATCACGGCCTCGGTCGCCGGCCTCGGCATCGGAACGCTCGGGAAGCAGGGCACGTACGGGTACAGCGCGAGCAAGGCGGCCGTCATCCACCTCGGCAGGAACCTGGCCCTGGAGCTGGCGCCCAGGCACATCACCGTCAACTCCATCGCCCCCGGCTTCTTCCCCAGCAAGATGTCCAACGGTCTGCTGAAGATGGGCGGCGGCGCGGACAAGATCGGCAAGGGGAACCCGATGGGACGTCTCGGAAAGCCCGAGGACATCGCGGGCGCCGTGGTCTACCTCGCCAGCCGCGCCGGGTCGCACGTCAACGGCGAGGTCATCGCCATCGACGGCGGGTCGCTGTGGCAGCGCGGGGAGCTGAACGTGTCCAAGCTGTAGTAGGACAGAGTAACAACATGTGTATTATCATTCATGACCATTGCCGAGTTCTATCGTTGCGTGAAAATGCCCACCCCGCAGTCCGTGATCTACAACATGACAATGAAGATACGCTACCTCGGCTTGCGCGCCACCCAGAAGCTCGCCCGGTACGTCGTCGACAGCATGCTCTCGCGGTCGTGGATGTAAGGCGCCTCGATCCCCGTCTCGCGGCGCTCCACGACGAACCCGATCTTCTCCACCAGCGCCATGACCTCGTCGTCGCTCAGCTCGAAGCTGCCCGGGTCCGCGATGCCCGACGAGTTGTTGTAGTCGTGCTCGCCGTCGCCGTCCGTGTCGCGGCCGTGGTTGCCGGGGGCGTTGTTCTCAAAGTGCCACAGCAGCGGGCCGAAGTTGACGAGCACGCCCCCCGGGCGCAGGCAGTGGTAGATGGTCTCGAGGTAGCGGACGAGGTTGGGCGCCGTGTCCAGGAAGAAGACGGTAGCCACGACGTCGTAGGCTTCCGCGTGCTCGTCGTCGGCGTACAGGCACAGGAAGTCGGCGGCGCACATGGCCATGGTGCCCGCCGAGGGCCCCGCGGCCGCGAGCTCCGTCGCCGGGTGGATGTCGGGCACGCCGCAGCTCCTCAGGTGGTTTGTGCGCGTGCGGTGGTTGGAGAAGGAGTGGACCCAGGGGTAGATGGTGTGCTGGCGCGCCGCGGCCGTGCAGTTGAGGATGTAGGACGAGGCGAGCAGCTGGTGGTACGAGATCTCGTTGCCCTCGGTGTCGTGGCCCGCGCGGCAGAGCTCGAAGACGAGGCGGCCCAGGCCGGCGCCGGGGACGAGGACCTTCAGCATCTCGGAGATCTCACCCCTGCTGCTCCGTTCGCGGTCGACGGCGTCCAGTACGGGCCCGTAACATACGCGGCGCTCCTCGGCGCCTTCTGCGGACCAGTCGCGGTAGAATTGGCGGAGGGTGCTCCGGGCCTTGTCGGTGTCGTTGTGCTTGGCGACGCCGACCCACTCGTCTGGCATCTTGGGCTCGCCATTCTCGGGCGAGATGAGATGGAAGGAGCGCAGGCCGTTGTGGGCGATGGCGCGGGCGAGCTCGGCGTTCGTGTCGATGGCCTCGTCCGTCTTGTCCAGGGTGTCGAGGAAGTTGAAAGGGGGCGCGGCGAGCATCTGCCAATGGGCCTGGGGCAGGGCGTAGAAGGATTGTCTCCTCAAGTGAGTGACGTTGAAGTGAGCCACCTTGGCATATTGACTGAGGTGGAGAGTCAGAGTCGATTCCGTTTCGTTCGAAGATCGCTCAGATTTTGACTCACATGAACGAATCGAGGGCGCAGAATATGACTTTTGTCTCTTCCGGGTCGTCAACCGTGTTCTCCATGCCGCTCCATTGCTCGTCGGCGGCCATTATTTCTGAAGGTGTCGTGAGTCGAGAGTGAGAGTCTCGTTTCGTTATTCTCAACACTTGTCAGTTTCTGAGTTTTCGGTGGTGGGCTTTGCTCGTCTTGGTGAGATGCAAGGAGGGGCAGCCAACCCGCCGGCGGCGCTGTGACGACAGAGGTAGCTCCGCTTAAGGTCTCCTCTTTCGGGTCAAGGTAGGTAAGCTTCGACTGGGGCTTTCGAATGGAGACGGGGAGGGATATCTGCGGGTTATCGCGACATCATTGCCGTTGAAGGGTAAAAAAAGGGTCCTAATATTTGTATGAAGAAAACAGTAAATGGCCCCGACAGCGGCGCGGCGCGTTTGCACTTGCATGGCCCCCCATTTGGGGTGAGAGCCCCTGACGCGGGGCTAAAACGGTGCCCGGACCCCAATCGGAGGCTCTGAACTTTGGGATTAGACGGGACACATCATCTTTCAACTTCACAGACATCATTTAGACTAGCATTGAGACAAATCCCGTGAATCGTTTATCCGTCAATCTACATGATCGCGTGCTAATCTACATATCCCAGTCCCTCGTAATTCGATCCCAACGCCAGGAATTCGCAATGCTCGCCGATCAATTTGTCCTCCATTTCGTTCGTTCCTCCAGTCAACTCACAGACCGTAATACACCTCACGTCTAGTGCTCACGGTGACGGCGCTCCTTCCTCCTCTTCCGCCTCTCATCCGCGTAATCGCTGCTCACGGCACTCTGGCTGCTCAGTCCCGGGATGACGTGGTGGTACGACTTGTGTCCCTGGTCGCTTTCCACGGCGCTGGTGATGTCGCTCTCGGCCCAGCTGCCGGGGATGCTCTGCTCCGGCTCCTCCTGAGGCGGCGGCAGGGCGTGCGGGTATCCGCGCGTGGCCTGGTCCTCTGCGATCGTGCTGGAGCGCTGGAAGCTGAAGTCGCGTCTCGAGCTGGCGGCGGCGGCGGAACGGCCCTTCTCCTGCAGCTTCCTGGCCTCTTGGCGGATGCGCTGGCGCTCACGCTCCTCGTTGCGGTCCGCCGTGCTGTACACCTTGCGGATGCCGCCCTTGGTCGGCGTCGAGGTCGGCGTCGTCTCACGGTTCGAGAGCAGGTTGGATGATACTGACGACTCGGTAGGGTTCGTGGAACCGTCCCATTCGGAAGCCTCGGACTCCTTGTTCATTCCACCCACGCGGGCGGGCTTCTCGTGACGGTAGTTGCGCAGGTGGTGCTTGGCCTCGCGCTCCGCCTCCTCGTCGATCAGGACGCTGGCCTCGTCATTCCGGCGGGACGATCTCTTCTCGCTGCGGCTCCTCTCCTTCTTCTCCTTGCGTCTCTTCTCCTTCTTGCGCTCGCGCTTCTCGCGGGAGGCAATGTCACTCGCTCCGGCGGTGATGCCGGACAAGGTGGTACCCGAGATGCTAGTCGTGTTGTCGTCGTAGTCCTTGTAGACGCTTCCGCCGCCGAGGTTCGTCGAGGGCGTGGCGTTGGAGAGGATGGTACCGTTCGGACCCTTGCGGCGGAGGACGGTGGACTTGTAGTCGTCCCAATCGTTTTCCTTGAAGTAGAAGCCGCCATTCTTGGCCCAGAAGAAGAACCAGATGCCGGTGATGACGAAGGCCGCGCCAATCAGGCCGAAGATGACGAAGATGGCCGTGTTGTTGATGTCCTGCGGGCTGGTGATGCCCACGGACGGGTTTTCTGTCGCTTTGGTGCCATCGCGGCCGATGAGGACCGATCGGGCGGCGAGGGGACCGACGGAAGGGTCGAAGGTCCGCGATGTGATGTCTGCCGTCTCCGGGAGCTTCGACAGCCTGCCCGAGATGAACGAGCGGGCTTGGTGCGCCAGACCGGTGACGACGGCCGGAGCCATGGTGTTGGGCGGTGGTGGTTGACGCTTAGGTGATGCGGATATGGGAAACTTTCGTTACTCGGTGAGACAGTCTCGTGGTGTTGATGGAATGCTGCTGCACCCACTTCAAATCAGGGTGAAGAAGGCGGGGGCACGAGAATCTCGAAATGCAGATTGAATGTGGAAGGAAAAAATGGCAGAAAGAAAGGTGCCTGGCCAGCTGTGTGCGTGTGCGTGGAGGGATGGCTGTTCCTATAGAAACCAAAAATTGCCGTGGCTGGGGGATGGGAAGGCGCAGAAGTGAGGTGGTTGGTGGGGGAATACGTCCATGAAGCCGGGGTTGGTCACTGGTCTTCCCTGCTTCGATATTTGGGCAGAGATCCGGACGCTAAAACCGTGATTCTCTTCGGACATTTACTACTTTTCCTGCAGCCCTCTTCTTTTTTCTTGATCCATGTTCGAGTCCAGCCAATCTGTTTCGCTGCAACCTCACACTCTTGCACAGAGCGAGCACCCGTCCACTCATGACGTCGAGAAGTCAATAGACCCACTCGTCGCCCAGCAACCACACCACCCAATCACCACTGTTCACGAACTTTCCCGTTTCGTCGTCCCGTCCCTTAATCAGGTACCGTCCCATCCCATCTCAGCAGACGGGAGCGGACCAACGCCCCCGCTGTCGCGCACGGAGCCAACGTTCGAGCGCCGTTTACGTCCGTCTCGACAGCATCCGCGTGTCGACCACGACGATCTCCGACTTCACAGCCATTCCACACGCCCAGGAATCTATTCCAGAGCCGTTTCAAGTCTGTGTCACGTTCAAAGGCGCCAACTGCAGCAATCTGACGGGCTCGGGAATTTGTCCTGTGGAGAGGCCGACCAGCCCGTTCGACAATTCTCATTGGGCTTTACAGCTGATGAATAGGAGACGCAAAGTCTGATGCATCCCGTGAAGGCGTTCGTCGATCGTACTCCCCGGAAGGGCAACTGATCGACCCTCCCGCACTCTCTGGGATGGAGGGCGTGGGCATAAGACCCGGATCAGACTGGCGACATATCACGAGACAATGGGACGTTTAATCAAAGTGGTTGCTGTTCCAACATTTTTATTGCGGCCTATATGGCTCAGCCATGCTAGGGGTATCTGTCTCGCCGCAAAAAGGGCAAGTCATCCGCAACACCGTTCGTTCCCTATCCTTTTTCCCCCGGCCGGCTGCCCTCGACATGGGGCAGCCACTACAAAATGGTATCCTCCAAATGATCTAGAAGTGAAACCCCAAAGATGGCCATGACAATTTCCCACATGCCACCTTCCCTAAAAGCACAAGAAGTGCGAACTTCCCGGAATGCCGATACAGGTTGTCTATCATCATGTCCAACTCGTACGCCTTGCTGAAAATGCAACATGTCCCTCGCCGCCTTGGGCAAGAAGTGATGTCGCAGACACGACAGCCATGACCTCCGGCATAGTACCAAGAAAGGCCTCTTCCGCGTATGCCCAGGAAGAAATCAACCAATTATCGTGCCCTGACCATACATGTTCAATCATCCTCCGGCCTCATTATCTGAACCCGCGTATACATGATCATTCATATGGTATGAAAAAAAAGGAAAGAGAAAAATAGTGTGGCGGTGGAGGGTAGACAGACGTCAACCTCCATGCCGAGAAAAGAAGCAATCGTATCGATACAATGCAAAACGCTCGCTTCAATGAAATCGTAGGAAACTCCATCGCTTCGTCAACTTCGTCATCATCGTAGTCATTCAGAAGAACGGCGGCCTCCCCTGCGGGGGAAAGTCGTAATCGCTGACCTCGCTGCGGCCCCATGAGTCAGCCTGGCTCGAGGCGCGAGCGCGGATGGGCAGAGGACGCTCCCTGCGGCTCTGGCGATCGTCCGAGTAGACAGTGCTGGCTCTGTCGCTGCCGCCGTTACGGCTTGGCTGGGTGATGTTGATTTCACCTCCATCCTGGCATTGGATCTCAGCGCCGCCAATCTTGAGAACGGCGCTGCCAGTGACCTTGATGGTGACGTCCTCGCTGTCAATCGCCGAAGACCGAGTTGTGCGGGTCGTGACGCTCTTTCGGAAGTCGCTCTCGTCGCGACTCTCGCTGCTGCCACTGGACCGGCTGCTCTTGCTCTTCTTGGCCGCCTTGAGCGCGGCAAGAGTTAGGGGCGTCGTAGGGCCGCCGTTGACACCGTTCTGGTAGGCCAGAGCGGCATTCTCGGCGTCAGCCAACTTTTGCTCCGAATAGCTGCCAGGGGCCGGGGCCCTGTACGAGTTGCGACGGGCGTTGTTCGTGGCTGGCTCGATGTGGAAGCCGTCGCGGCTGTATGCACTGGATCCACGTCGGTGGGCACGAGGCCGGTCCATGACGCCGTCGTCATAATCGTACTGCACAACCTGCTCGTAGAGCGAGTCGTCGCCGTCAAAGTCGTCCGATTCGTAGCCGGCCTGTGTAATCTGACGCGGAGCCGGAGCCTGTCTCTGCGGAGGCGGGCCCTTCAGAGCTTGTCGAGCAGGCTGGCTCGTTTTCGGGCGAGGTGGAGGTGGCATGAGCTTCCGGGAATCGTCATCGCGGATCTTGACCGATCGCCGCCGACCAACGTTCTCCTTCCCGTACGAGTCATGATCGAATGAGCCAGAAGACGCGGAGCGGTGTCCCATCGCAGATGACGGCCTTTGAAACCGTTGTGCTAGATGAGCCTGTCCCTGGGCAGGAGGACCAGCGTGGGGAGCCGCATGGAGAGGCGCGTGAGGAGGCGCATGGGAAGGGGCGTGAGAAGGGGCATAAGGCGCAGCGTGATGAGGAGGTGGGAAATAATCGCCGGGAGGATGAGGCGGTCCTTGAGCGGGATACGGAGCACCGGGGTGGGCCCAGGTCTGCTCAGGGTAGGCAGTCCCTGGCATATACGGAGACTGTTGCGGCATCTGCTGCAATGGAGATGGAGCGAATGGAGACGATGCTTGAGGCTGGCCGTGCTGAGCGTACCAGCGATCGTTGGTCGGAGGCGGCCGGGAGCCCTGACCGTAGTAGCTGTTGGGTCGGTTCGACATGGCTCTGGGGCGAGGTGCTTGAGCGGGCTGAATGCCATACTGGGAGGCGTCATCCTCGAAGCGTGGCCTACGGTATTCGTCGGGATTCTGCGTCGTGTGGACGACGGGGGCCGTCTTGACGTGCTTGGCTGGGGGCCGGACGGCAGACTTCTTGGGGGCGGCTGCCCTTTCGGCACGGCGCTCAAGTGCCTTTTGTTCTTCCTTGATGCGGCGGCGCTCCTCCTTACGCTCCCTCTCCTCGAACTCTCGCTCCATCTCCCGTTGTCTCTCTCGCTCCCGTTCTCTCTCCTTGCGTCTCTGGCGGTCTCTCTTCTCGGTGGGTGTGGGGTGGACGGTGTCGTCCGAGTCGGTCAGACCATGCTGCGGGGATAGGGACGATCTCCTCATGGTGTCCTTGCGTGTTTTGGGAGTGTTGGCTTTTGTTTTGCTCGGGCTGCCGGGTGCGATAGAGCGGGCGTATGTCTTCTCCCCGCCCTCGATGGCGGAACCCGTGTCGTCGTCGGCGTCTTGTACGTAGGCGGTGGTGTCGCTTGCCATAGCGCTGTAGTAGAATGGCTTGTGTGTGGTTTGTTGCTCGTAGTCGAGCGACTAATGTGTAGAGGCAAATGAGCCTCGAAAGAGGCAGACAATCGTAAGTGTGTAGCGAGTCTTGGAGTACGACGAGCAGGTGGGAACTGAGCGAGGTGGGAGCGGGAACTTTTTTGTATGAAGGGCGGACGAGAGAAACGGTGGGGATTCGGAGGGGATGCGACCACTATCTGATGGAGGGAGGGCCCGTATTTGTGGATATGGAAAATCGACCAGGACGGGGTGTGGTTGTGGAATTGGGTGTGATGGGGTTTCTCCTGGTGTGTGGTATCGACGGATGGTGTTGTGTGTCGTTGTCGTTATCGATCGTTAGGAGAGGCCATGTGTTCTGATAGAACGTGTAATAATCCAGAGAAGGACGGACTGGACGAGCCCAAGATCTTTATTGATTCTGCTTGCTGCGTGCGCACTGCTCCGTGCTGAGCTGCTGTTGCTGCTGCTGAGAGACAGCAAGAGCCCGGAGGTAGGGAGGGGTGTGCACAACCGAGCAATTCTCTTGGGGGGAATTAAAATAAAAATTGGCAGAAGAAAGGCCAATCGTGGGGTTGATTTGCTGGTAGAGGAGGAGGGGCGTGTTTGCAGTGAAAAAAGAACCTGACAGCGGATGATGTCGCTCGTTGCCCGGGGTGCTCTGCCGCCTTCCAGTATCACTCCAATCGCCGTACAGCGTTGAGAGCATGAGAGGGGGTGTGGCTGTGGTTTTTTTGAGCTCGTAGTCGCTTTGAAATCGAATTCGAGACCGCGAGCGTGGTGTTGCGTTGTGTTGACGATTATTCGTAGCGTGTCTCTGTATCCATACAGAGTAAGGTACTCTGTACGGGTACGGTGGTAGTCTGAAGACAAGCGAATTTCGTCAACCTCCCTGTATCCGATAGTGTATCCGTATACCTTGTCCTCACACTACGGGGTGTCCACGGTGGAGGATAGGATGGGATTCTTCTTGGGTTTGGGTCTCCGGACTGAAATGGAAACTGTCCCAAGCGACGAGCTAAGACAATAGCTTCAGCTCCCACCGCGTGGCAGCAAGGAAGCTCAGCTGGCGTTCTTGTCCAGCGTTTGTTGTTGGCTCAAGCCGTCCCTCTTTGACAGACGCGAAGCAGGGAATCCTCGACACAGCAATTGACCGCAAAGTTGGGAACCGGGCGGCCCCTGGCTCTGGTGCTTGTGTTGGCGCCGGTGCTAATCCAATCGCCGCCGCTTCGAGTCAGAGCGCCAAAAGCACTCAAGCCCAACTGTGGAGAAGCTTGTCTTTCGTTTCTTCCCGTCCGCGACCGTTGCAATGGATTCCCTGAACCGTCCTGGCACCTGGCACTTCGTGTGCTTGGGGCTGGGGCTGGGGGCATGTCGGCCAGGGTTGTGTTGTATCACAAACTGTCACTGAGAATTTTCCATCGGGATCCCTAGGCGCTGACGTCTCTTGTGCGAGCCGTGAGTCAATTGTGCTCTGCTGTTCTGGGTCCCGAGGATCAGAATCTCGAAATGCATACACTAAGCCCAGCGGGTCCTCCAACTCGGGGGGCGTGGACGAATGCTTTGCACGAGAGGAGGCTGCCAGCTGTCTGGATGAGACAGATGGGTTCCCTTGGGCTGCTGGAATTATGGATGGGAGAGCCTCTGCGTGTGCGGCAGATCCACCTTCAGGGCCGAAGAAGACGAGGGTGCTAGTCGACGATGACGGAACGACGCTGTTTGTGGTGCGTTGTGCCCTTTTCGGTTCATCCTTTTCTTGTCGTGTTGCTGGTTTAATGCCCGACCCTGCACTTGGCTTGGCCTTTGGGTATCAACAGACAGCGTGCTAGCCAGCTTGCTGACAGACAGGCGCGAGCCGGTCTCCAATCGTTTGCCGCGCTTTCGATTATTCTCTCAAGTCGTTTGGCTCAAACGGGTTTTCATCGTCGTACATGGTGTCCCGTCAACATGTGTGCGAGAGAAAAAAAAGACTCACCAGCGCGGTCGACTGAGTGGTGCGCGAATCCGGTCGCAGTTTCGGAACACACTCGAATCAAGCACCAGAAGAGACACTCGGTGCGGTGCTATCCTAGGCAACCAGCTGCCTTCAGCGCTGGCACTGGAAGAGACTGCACATAATGCAGAGTTTTTGGAGGCCAACACACTTCATCTGTGTTGCCCGCGCCGGAGAGCCCAATCATGGCCCGACCCCACTCGGCCTGGAATGCAGTCTCCTGCAAGCCGGGCCCGCAGCTTGTTCTCATAGGGCGAATCCGGGTCGGCAAATGGGAGTCATCGTCCTATCTCCAGCTTGGATGGCTCTCTCCTCCTTCAGGCAGGGTCTGGCTCCACGACGACCATGTAAGATGGCATCACGTTGCTGAACGCTGCAGCTTCCTCCAGATTCGCCATGTCGACTTGGGGTACCGCGTCCGGTCATGCTTCATCCGTCATGTCGTTCGGAGCACGTCCATTTCCGATAGAAAGCCAGATGTCGGAATAGATCTGCATTTGCCGTTGCAGTGCTGTGCTCTCAGACATTGCCACGGCCGTTGCCGTCTTATTGGCCGCCGAGTCTCGGCAACGTCCCAGACGGCCGCCCTCCGAGTGCATCCCGTCTGGTTGGCGAGGTCTAAATCGGGCTTCGGTATACCCGCCACCCGCCAATGTCTCTTTGTTGTGCTGTTGGGAAAGACACCGAGGGCAAATCCAGAGGCTGCAGTATCAGGACAAACAGAGACCTGATGAAACATGCACTTTTCGTTAACCTGATGGTTCGTGTGTTGCGGCCACCTCATTCGCGTTGTACGCAACTGCGCATTCCTGCTGCATGCCATGCTTCTCAGCAGCGGCACCGGCGCTGCTCGTCTCTAGCGCAAGGACATGCCGAAATGGGGACGATTGAGGCCCTCCCGGAGCCTCTCGTTGCTCCCTCTACTGAGTCCTAGTGGTCGTTGATGGTGGAGCATTGTCGCAGCAGCATGAACGAGGCAGGGGTGAATCCGGAGAATCTTTGTCCATCGACCTCGGTTTACCACTGTTGAGACCGCTGTCGATATTGGCATCGACGTATGCCTCAGATCCAAGATCTGATGCACGCCATGGCTGCACTCTGGCACTCGCAAACCCCAAGACTTTTCGAGCAATTTGCCCGAGGACAGTGTCGACCGTTGTCGAGATGCACAGAGCCGGAAATATAAAAAAAAAAAAAAAAAACGTCTATCTAGATGTTTGAGGCGGACGGATCGACGGAGCATCGTTTGGTTGTGGAGCGCAAGGCCGACCACCACCTCGGAACCACACCGCCTTTTCGCTTGAGGCATGATCCCTCGACGCCACTGTCAAAAACATTCCAATGCGCCACAAGTAACGTAGTCTGCCAAACGGTGCCGTCGACTCGACTTGAGACGAACAGACTCCGGTGCGGCACCCTTCGGGGAGGCGCCTTTGTCAGTTTGAAGTGTTGTTATCATTGTCCGCTGTCTTAACGGCAGTCTTATTTGACACTGTCCAACATGCTAGTCATGCAGGAGTCTCGGAGAATCGGACGGTCTAGATCTGCCTCATCTGTGCTACCCAGATTGCGTGGCGTTGTACTCGGGCCACGTTCTCTTCGGAGTCGATCAAGAGCTGGCTGTCCGTAAGACAGGAATTTCCACGTCGGCAACGACAGGTCTGTGATCGGAGAGGAAGACGTCATCGTCAAACTTGTTTGATAACACACCAAAGGTCCTGATGGTGGCTGGGCTCGGGTCTTGTACAAACAAAAAGTCGATTCTCGTTGGCTTTTCGTTCGGTTCATCAAACGAGGTGTAGGTGATCTCATTTCCGTAGCGTTTCTCCTTTGGTACCGTCGTGAACACGTCGACCATGCCCGAGTCCGGTGCGACCATCGTCTTGTAGGCGTTGTCTTCTGGCGTACTGTTGAAGTCGCCGGCAAGGAGGACTGTAGTGGGCGGCTTGCCATTGGCGCCGTTGCTCCAGTCTCGGGCAATCTTGAGCAACAGTTTGGCGCTTTCTTCGCGTGCCCTGACGCCGATGTGGTCAAAGTGGGTACTCATGACAACAACTCTGGCTTCCGTCTGCTTGTCGACGAATTCGCCGACGGTGACAATGCGGTTCAGGACAGCATCCCATCCCCTAGATGGTTTCTCTGGCGTCTTGCTCAACCACAGCGTCTCGCTTCGTTCACACTGCCACCGGTTGACTTGGTAGAATACGGGAGAAAACTCGCCGGCTCGCTTGCCGTCGTCACGACCAAGTCCGATGTGCGCCCAATTCGGGCCGAGCCATGATTGGATCTCCTCAAGCTGGGAGTAAAGAACTTCTTGTAGGCAAATGAAGGCCGACTCGTGGCCAGTCGTGATGAAGTCCAATTGGTTGATAAGCTTAGGGCCTCGGTCCTTCCACAGTTTCTCTTTAGGCGTAGGGTTCTTTGTGGCGTAGCGAACGTTTTGGCTGACCATACGGATCAGCATACTGGAGGCGGTTGTGGAGGGAAGCTGAACGAGCATATTGGTGCGAGTGACTGGGAAATTCTTCAAGATTTTCGACTGTGCGTGATATTGAAGAGTATAGATATGAGAGATGTCGTCGGATTAAGTTGATGTCGTTAAAAGAACCTTGGACGTTGGAACAAAGCTGAAGCTTGAGATGGAAAGCAAGCAGGCATTCTCCTTCCCCAGGCGGACCGTTGGGTGGGTCACGTGGCGGATCTTGGAACGTGGGGGAAAACGCTGCGGCGAGTGGCCCAAGCTCCCGCATTTTTTCGTCCGTCCGGGGCGGCTACTTTTCCCGTCTCCACCCTGTACAATGGACGGGAATTCAGCTGAGCCACCCATCCATTCTTCATCCATCCAATCCGTTTCATATCCGATGTTTGTCATTTCTCTCTACCTTCCGAACAATTCTCTTGTCCTTGGCAGCTGGACGATTTCCCGCTGATGCCGCCGCATCCTCGCCTCGCGACTTGCCATCTCCATATCAATACGTGGCCGTTGCGTGCCAATGACGACGCGAATACGATTCCCTCCTTCGCCAGCCCAAGAGCTAGGCTAGGTATGGCGGTGCCCTCTTACGTGGGACGTAAGCAGGGTTATCATCTCACCAGCGACTGATTACTCACTACCCCAGAGCAACCAAGCAAAACTAGTGTCACCCGATGCTTAGGCATGTTTGCTGCCGGCACGGAGACTCCACTGACCGGTCACGTTCGATCACGGCCCGCGTCCGAAGTTCCACCACGGGTCGTGATTCATGCCGCATGGGATGGCAGCGGTTCCATTTCGACTGCGAGTTCGTCCGGCCTCTGTCAAATCCAAGTCATGACGCAATCTGTACACAAAGTCGGCAACAGCTGACTTGGGGAAGTCGAGACAAACTCAAGCTGAGTTCGTGTCAACGAGTAGCTGTTTTTCCGTCCGTCCCTCACGCTGTTCGTCCTGTTGCTGGCTATGGCGAAAACAGCAGCAGTCTTACTGCATCCATCTCGCAGTGGTTCATGCAACCCTGGCGATCCTGTTGAGGCTCAGGATGGTGACTCCCCGAATGGCATACGAGAATGAGGCAGCTCCTCACCGAGATTGCTGCCTTCGCATACTCAGTGAGGCCGCGCGACCTGACTCAAATGCGCCACCCAGAGGCGTCATGCAAGGTACGCCAGTCGCTCCAACAAACGTTGGAGGGCGATCAAAACTTGTTCTCCTCGCAGACTAGCGATATCTGTCTTGCACATTCCTTGCTGCATTTTCCGACCTCGAGAAGACGGCGCAGATAGCGCCAGCAACCGGCTGCTTCGGTTGGCTGTGGTGGGAAGAAATAGTCATCTGCCCGGCTCTGCCTCCAACAAAAATGCGTAGTGGTTGCCTATCTGTCTCAGCTTATTCCATTAAGCCGCGGTAGTCGCGCACCTGACGGCACCCTCACGGGCCAACGCGAAGTTGCCAGAATGCCGGATTTCTTACAATCCCCAACATGAAATGCGATAGAATACGGGTCCGGCTGGGATCAGCTTACCACCACTTCTGGACGGGCATCTCCTTTTCTGGCACTGCACTGCTCTTTAGGTCGGCGATGGCGGTTACAGAGTCACGCTCTCATAGGCCTCTTCCACGTGGGGGCTGGCGGTGGCTGGCTGCCCCGCGATTTCGAGACCTCAGCGCCGGACCATGGACACTGGTGACCACCTTCTTTCAGCCATACAAGGCAACCCTGGGCTGGCCGACATGACTGAACAGAATCACCAGCCAAGCTGGGATCCTGGTCGGTGTGGGAGGCCTAGGTGTGGTAGCTAGGCAGGTCGAGAAATGTTCGCCTCGTCGAGGCTGTGATGCGGGCTATATAAGTATGAGCAGTCACCTCGTTTTATTGTCCGTCACGTTCCACCGCCTTACACTGCGCTACCTTACCTGATTTGTAAGGGCACTACTTTCGTTGCTTTCATTTGGTACAACATTTGAGCCGGCCAGGCCGGCGAGGGCTTTCAGTGATTGCTGGGACGCCTATATATCGACACATTGCAAATTGAAAATCACAAACGGCACTATGCCTCATTCACCAACTCGGAGGGACTCGTGGCCACCCACCCAGGTGCGCCTGATGCCGACGACTCCCAAAGATTACCCTTCTCTCGACGACATCGACGAAGATCCTCTGACGTACTTCCTCACGCCGGCGCCGGACTTGGAGGAAGACGACGTGGACATGATGGACTTTGACGCCGGAATCGAAGGCAACAGCCCCCGCGAGATCGTCCGCAGTGTCAGCCCGTCCACCCTCGACGGTCTGAACAAGGCAAAGGGCCGCAAGTCGCCCCCGGTACCCGATCTCTCGGATCTGGCTACGCCGGAGGAGGACGACGAAGAAGACTACATCCGATTCGCCCCGCAAGGCTTCACCGTCCCGTTCAGCCTGCGGGACTTCGCCATCGACGGCGTCAAGTCCAATCGGTCCAAGACGCACCCGGACGCGCTATTGTCGCCGTCGTCGCCAACTCGGGGCCGGGCCCCGGTACGTCCCGGCGGGCGGGGCCGTCAGCGCAGCGTATCCTTCCGCCACCGGCAGCACCACGTCTGGCGCGAACCCAGCCCGGACGTGTGGTCCATCGAGGAGGAGACGGAGGAGGAGCTTCTGAGCGAGATTGGCAGCAGCATCGGGGCTGTCAGCGACATGGAGGAGGACGGAAACATGGGCAAAGACGTAGAGGCTGCAAAGCCAAAGAAGAAGGTCCGGTTCCTGTTGCCCGCCGAAGAGTGAGCGGCAGACGGACACAGCATTACACGGCGTCAAGGGTTTTGTCTTGATTTCTTGCATTGGGTGGTTGCATTTTCCTTGGGTACACGTCCTCGGGCAGGGCTAAGGCTGGTATCGCATGGATGGGAGTTTGTACAATACCCGTCATTCATGGATGGTAATTTGGATTTGGACACACACATCTTAGGTGCATAATTGACACGCCGCCGGCGATAAACCCTGATTTGCAGAGAATGCCTAGTGAAGTGCGGATAGTGTGTAGTGTGCTGCGAGTGATGAGGCGGACTGTCTGTGAGGGGGTTCGTAGAAGGTGCTAGAGACGGTCGTGGTCTCGCCGACGCCTCGGCGATCTCGATCGCACCCACGCGATGCAGCCTCAGCCGGGTCAAGGACTCGGAGGGGGCCCGCCACGTGCAAGGGGTTGCGTGGACTCGTGATGCGACGTTGATATCGCACTGCGGCGTCCGAGACAATGTTTGGATCCGAAGGCTCAGAAACCGGATGAGATACTGGTAGAGGAGATTTGGTGCATGAGAATCGTTCAAGCGTCTTTTAGACGGGGATATCGACCGTGTTTCTGGTGTATATCGGCCGTGTTATCGTAAACACACTCTCGTTGTCCACGGCACCTGGGGTCGACAGGGTATCCGTACGGTGATATCAAACACGACTGGGATGGCCGCTGTTACAATGACAACGACGGCGACTGAGGGAGGTCCGGATGAGACAGGCATAAGAATGAGCCCTCTGCAAACCCATTGTTGCTGCGTTGCTGTGCTGCCGTCTTCTTCGTCTCGGCCCCGGATGATGGATCAACGGTGAGGAATGTCTGCGGATCCGTCCAGACATGAAATCAAATGAAACCGAGATCCGATCTGTAGACAAAAGGCCGCACTGGTGGAAGCCGAGATTGACGAAGCTTAGGAGGGAAATGATGGTCGATGCGCGGGCTGTCAGTGCAGAGACGGAACGGACGCCAAAACAATGACAGGCCAAGCGAAGGGATCCTTGTAATGATCCCCCTCCCTCCGTCCCGAAGCTTTTTTTTCTCTCTTGATTTCGCGGTTGACACTGGACCGTTTACGGAATGGTGCCAACTGTTGGAAACCGGCTTTCCCTGGCGGCCACTGTCGAGGCCTGGACCACCAGCCACAACGGCGCCGCTTGATTGGCTCTCTGGGGACATGTCCGTGCATCGGGTCACTGATAGCGCCTTATCACAAGGGTGAGGTGAGGTCTGGTTCCAGGGCAAGGCTCAGGCTCTCAGCGCTGACTGCCCCACCTCAGGCGGTTTGTTTATGTCTAAGCTCCGGCGTCAACATCCACTGGTTACTCCGGCAGTGCCAGCTCAACGACGGGGTCCATTGGGCTCGGCCTGCTCCCAGGTCGTCGTCAGAATTCGAACCTCATCGATAATTCTGTCTGACTCTGCATATTCGTACCACTCACTCACTACCTTACCTTACCAGTCAGTTTGTCCTCAAGCTGCCATCTCATGCACTCTGCCCACCCATAGTGAGCTGCCTCTGAGAGCCGACTGGCTGTTGTTGATCGTCTGCGGCCTACACTCCGGCCTTTTCTTTTCATCTTTCCAACTCAACTCGACTCACCGTCAGTCATTACTTTGACATTGTTCCATCTTCTCGGATACACTACTTTAATTTCGGACTTCTAGCGACTTTCGACTTTATTTCAACTTCTACTCCCCAACCACAGTGTCTAGCCCTGCGGCAGCATGCAGCCCACCTAAGCCTGTCATTCCCAAATCATCTAGAGAGGGGACGCACTTGTACGACGCTCCAATCCTCCCACTATGAAGCTGTTCTGACAGACCTCAGATCATGACTCCCAAACCCCCCGACGATCAAGAAACGGCCGACGCCGCCGCCGCCGCGACCACGAGCAAGCCCTCAACCCCCAAGAACGAAAACAATGCGCCGGCGACTCCCAAGAAGGCTGCGGTCGCCCCGGCCCCGACCACCCCGAAAAGTGCGCCTGCTCGGCCTCGCGCCCAAACGATGAAGAAACCCGTCGAACCTCCTACACTCCTCGCAGACTTCCTAAGGGGCCGACCGTCACCACAACGACTCGCCGCCGACCGCAAACGTAGAATGAGCTTGGACGCAGTCAAGGCCGAGATGAGGGCAGAGATGCGACAAGCGGCCGTCGCAAAGGTTCAACAACCCGGCGGCGTCAGGGATAGGGTGAACAAATGGCAAAAGGCGAACGCCGCCGCCATGGCTGCCGGCGACCCAATGTCCACACCTAGTGAACCTACAGAGATTGCCTTCACCGGTGACACGGAAAGCGTCACCGAGGAGGATCGCGTACGAATCAAGATGCGAGAAAAGAAACGGCCGACACCCAAGGTCGAGGTACACAACGATGCGCCCGAAGAGAAAGAGGAGTCTGTCGAGGACCTCCCCAACGGGGCCAAGGCGGCTCCCAAAAAGCGTGTTGTTAGCGATGACCATTGGATGGCCAAGAAGAACAAGAAAGTGCCACCACGGGCAAACTCGCCAAAGAAAGAAGCAAGCCCAAGCCCCTTGCCCAAGAACTTCGTCCAGAAGACACCAATACAGGCGCCCATGGCCAGGAAGATCCAGGATTGGGCTATGAAGGTCGAAATCCCAGACCCGCCATCGCCAAGGCATAGCGCATCGAAGTCGACGGGTTCTTTGGTGGACGGCAGCAAAATCCAGGCTATGCTTAAGGAGCTTCAAGAAAAGCAAGAAAAGCAGTCGGCCTCAAAGAAGCCCAAGGCCAGTGACGATGGCATTCGGGTCACACCCCTACGAAAGAAGCTGGACGATGACGGTATCCGAATTAGGCCAGTCAAGACGCCATCTGAAGGATCGGGAGCTCAGACACCAAAAGCCGCCAAATCTAGAGACCACAGTCGTGGTGCGAGCTCAAGAAAAGACTCTGAGCACATCGTGGTGGTCGAAGAGGACGAATCTGATCGGATTGAGGTGATTGAAGATTCCGACAGTCACTTACAAACACCAACGCGAAAACCCTCGAGAGCACGAAAGGTTAGCCACAAGAAGAAGCCGCCGCCGCCCGCATCTGAAGGACAGTCATGGGTCAGTGGCTCAGACTCGACAGAGAAGCCAGGGCCGGAGAATTCAGATCTTGCGCCTACTTCAGTCACAAGCGCCCCTGGGGCGAAACCGCTAGACGAAATTCCCTTTGGGTTTTCCGCCTTTAGCGAGCTCGATCTTCCCCTCGAAAGGGGCAAAACAAGGAGAAAGACTGCACAACGCAACAACAGTTTCAAGGCTGCCGACGTGCTCAAGAAGGTCGTCAACGAAGGCAAGAAGATTCTGCATGATGCAGTTGAGCCACCAAAACAACCTGCGGCGAACCAGCCTCCTAGCATCGAGAAATGGCTGAACGGGACTGTCGACCCGTTCGTTGAAGAGCAAAAGGGGTCGAAGGAAGCAAAGGAAGAGCCTAAGCGAAAGGTGTCGGAGAAGAAGCTTGGAGAACGATCAGACAGTCGCAAACGCTCAGTTGAGTCGAAAAGAAAGTCGTCTCTGCCAACTAGGACAGAGCTATCTGAGGCGACCGATCTTACACAAACCACGCAAACAACAGATACGACTCAGACCACCGACACGACGCGAACCACCCAGACCACAGACTCTACGCAGACTTACACTGATCTCTCGACTGATTTGTCAACCGACCTCTCGACAGATCTATCGACGGATCTATCAACAGACCTCACCGCGTCGACGGAGAACGACGAGAATGTGGCTCCCAGAGGATCTAATGAGAAACCCAAAGAGAAGCCGAAAACACCTACTCCTGCTGGATTGCGGAGGAGGGCTGCCACGAGAGGGGCAATTTCACCTGTCAAGTCGGTCAAAAAGCCATTCCGAGAGATTTTGAAGGAAGCCTTTAGAGGGGAGTCGAGCGGCCACCAGACACCCCCGTCCAAATACATCAGCGAAGAGGAAAGGCGCCAAGCAGAGTACGATGACTACGAAGAAGAAGAAGAGTTTCGGCGGAACGAGCGCCGTCGTTCCTCTGGTTCTAGCCGGTCCTACAGCGACCACACATATTCAGATGAGTCCTCCATAAGGGACGACAGGTCACCAACCCCACGACGGAAGCCACCCACGAATGGCGTGCATGAATTATCGACCATTCTTGGATCCGCTGAAACCCAGAGCGTCTACGAGTCTGACATAACTTCGCAAGTTTCAGAGACTACCGTCACTCAGACAACGGCCTACTCGAGAGATACAGAAGTCCCGCGGCGGCGAAGTACCAAGTCCGGGGGCCTAAAGAGGAGACTCACCAAGCATTCCGATCTTGTATCGGTCTTGTCTCTGCCTGATGACAGCCAAGTTCCCGGCAGCTTCAGGAGCGTCAGGTCACGACCGAGCGTGAGAAAGGCTGCCAATCACCACACTACGGTGACCAACAATGACTTGTTGAAGGAGTTCATCGACGACGAAAACCTATATCAGAGGGAGCTCAAGACGTTGGTGGATGGTGTGATTCCCGTCCTTTTGTCGTCTGTCCTTCATGAGAATTCATCAAGCGCTGTGGACTTGTTCGGTCCTGAATCACCCGGACGCAAGGCAAATAACATGTCGAAATCCGTCGTAAACATGGGAGTCGCCCTGGAAAAGCTCAAAGCGTCCCATAAAAGAGCTTCACATACCGATATCAACCGACTGATCTCCTGGCTGCATACTGCGTCTCCTATCTACGACAGCTACTTGGACGCATGGCGACTCGGATTCCAAGATCTCATAGTCAATCTGGCTCCCGCTGCTGATCGCCTCGATGACGAGGATTCCCTCATCAATGCCCTTCCGCGAAACGCCGAAGGCGACGTCGTCAACGAAGACGGAGAGAGGGTCGACGTTGCGCACCTGCTCAAGAGGCCACTTCTTCGCGTCCGAACTCTTGCGAAGTTTACAAAGGTAAGATCAACATTGTATCCACGAACTAGACTAACAAGAGTAGGGTCTGCACGCGGCTTTCGGTTCCTACGACACTCTTGCCTTGGTGGGCGACTACGACGCATTACAGGAAAAGTGCAAGCGCAGGCACAAGGAAGAATCCGCTCGCCTTGCCGACGAAGATGCCATCAACACGGACACGACTAGGATGCGTGACCTGAGAACTCTCGCGCCCATGCCCTCGATTAAGATCGACCCTAAGAGACAAGTCAGCGCCAAGGATCTCTTTTCACTCAGTCTGGCGCACTCAAACGGCCAACGACTGGAATGCCAGGTTGAACTTGTTCATCGCGATCTGCCCGGCGCCAACAATGACAAGGGAGACCTTTTAATCCGCGAGACTGGCAGCGGTCGCCGTACATGGCTCCTTTTCCCTCCCATGCCCATGATGGCCATTTCTGGGCGACGGGGCGACGCCAGATTTGAACTTGTTCTCATGGTTCAAGGCTCCCACAACGGCAGGCATTGGTATGAACTGCTCAATCTTGTCACGGACAACGAAGACCAAGTGGTAGACTGGCTTGACATTGTTGGAACTACCCCAGTTCCCCCGAAAGAGCGGCTCCCAGCTCTTGAAGAGGTTCCCGAGTCCCCGACGTTGATGGATGTGCCTGTTGGCGGCAAGCTCTACGACCGTGACACAGCATCTCCCGAACCCGCCACGCCGAGGCGAGGAACTCCTACCCGTCACCTCGACCGAAACGCCCACTCGCGAAGCCCATCTCTTGAGCGGACGCCCACCCAGGATTCGTACGAGGATCAGAGGCAAAGGGCCGCTCCCAACAGCACACCGTTCCGCGACGACGGAGCGCCTCCTCCTCCTATTCACCGGTCACTCAGCCCGAAGTTACCACAACTGCAACCTCCTGTAGATCTTCAAAGCCCCCGCGTGAAGAGGCGGGGCTCGTCTCCTTTAAAGCACGAGTATCTTCCATCTGAAGAATCATCCGACACCGCTGGTTCCTTCACCGAAACCTCTGAAAGCGAGACAGAATCAGACTGGGAGTCGTCCGAAGACGAATTCGAAGATGATATCCCGGAGACGGAGGTTGGCTTCAGCATTAGAGATCCAGAACCCGAGCCGTACCGGGAGATCCGAAGAGAGCCTGAGCCGAGGCCCCACCGCGAACCAGAGCCCGAACCTGAACCGTATCACGAACCGGAGTCAGAGAGCGAAACTGAGTTGGAGCCTCTTCCAGAACCCCGAACATTTAACGAAAACTTTGGCCAAGAGTCGGTTGTCTCGTCCGTGTGCAGCCTTACGCCCTCCAACTCAGCCTCCCAAGCTGGTCTCCACGGTCGCAAGACTTCCGAAAGCTACACCAAGTACATTGCCTCCATTTCGTACTGGAACGAGAAGAAGGGACAGTGGAAGGACATCTCCGCCGAACCATGCTCCATTCAAGTCACCGCTGGCGTCATCGAAGCCTATTCCCTGGTCATCAGCCCTGGAGGAGATCCCGACTTCGCTCTCCTCTCCCTCGAACTTACTCCTCTCGTACTCCTTCGTCAATCCACCGTCGTCGATCTCGAAATCCGCTCCGCCGTCAAAGACAACTGCAAGAACAAGAGCATTGGCGGTGGCAACTTCCGCTTCCGTTGCCCGTCAAGTACGGAATGCTACAACCTGTACATGGCTGTTCACCACGCTCGCCTCAACAATCAGAAATTCATTCAACTCGAAAATGAAGCCCGGTACAAGTCTTTTGGTGAGAGACCATCCGAAGAATCCGAAGACACCAGCAGTCGCCGCCGCAGCTGGTTCGGACGCAAGAACAGCTACCGCGCGTCGACGCGTGCGCCGTCGCAGTCCCAAGACGGCAGCACTCCCTCATCCAGCCCTTCGGCTACCAGCTTCCTCAAGCGTCTCACTGGCGCTGGTACCTTCAACATCGCCAGGTCCTCCATTGATAAGCAGCGTCCCTTCTCCGTCGGCAGCCTTTACGCATCCGACTCTTCCTCCTACGGCTATCCCCGCTCGCCTTCCATCAGCATCTACTCCAACTCTGTCCACAGCCCCCCGTCATCAGACAACATCAAGATCCGCCTGCACCTGCTGGTCACGTCGACCAAGTGGGAAGACTATGGCAACTGCATCCTCCAAATCCGCCGCCCGCCGCCGGGCTGGCATCAAGAACTCCGCGCCAACCACGGCCTCGAGAAGCGCGTCACCGTCACGACGATGCCCAAGAAGGACAAACCCCGTATCGTCCTCGACGCCGTCCTCGGCAGCGGTTGCTTTACCCCCATGGGAAGCAGAGGTATCGTGTGCGGCATCTGGGAGGAGCTCCGCGACGAGCGTGGCGAGATCGGCGTTGCCCCCAAGACTGGAGGTGCCTCCGGCTCCGTCAAGAAGTGGTGTTTCCAGTGTTCTAGCGTCGCAGAAGCGTCGTGGGTGCTGAGGCTGGTTCACCAGGAGGTCGAGCTGAGGGATTAAGGCGACCTCTTCTTCTTCTCTTTCTGTTGTTTTTATACCCTTTTTCCCTATGTTGTGATTCCCCCCGAGCTGCGGCTCGATTTGTGCATGCCGGGCTGCGGCCTGGCTTTTTTGGGTGGCATAGCGTTTTTGGTGTTGGGGAGGCGGGAGACATACACATATATACAGGGACCAATGATACCGAAGTCTATTTATGTTAGATAGTGTATAGAAATTATGATTCATCTCGGTTCGTCTTACGATCTTTTTGCGGCGATGGCGTCGTCTACTGCTTTGGTTGTCCTGATTGGTTCTGTGGCGCTGATGTGGTTCTCATAATTGAAGTTTACTTCTAAGTTTTCGGACCGTCTTGGATGAAGGGGTGACAAGATGCCATTTGCTCATAATTTTCCTATCCTCGTTTCGTCTCTGCTGTTGAGTCACTCGTCCATGAAAGCAGGTGTATGCGAACATGCATCGTTAGAGTTAGTCATGTGGCTGTCAATCTTCACACGGAAGGATGCGTATGTGAAGTCTCAACTTGCACGTACCTGTAATAAGGAAGCATGTGGTATTTCAACTGTTTTGATGACTCCCGCTCGACATTATAATCAACCTTGCTGGTGAGAACCTTTTTGGCCGTCTTAGTGTTTGCGAGTGTATAAATTCTCACGTTCACGCTGGTAAGTCAATATCTCATCCGCATATGCGTTCTCGTCTGACCTCTTTTTCAAGAAACATGTCCTCCAAAAGAGAACACTCCCTGTCCCCGGAAGCTGAGAAGAAGCGCGCGAGGGTAGCATCCCCGACATGCGGACGACCCGAGGGCTCAGCTGTCCCGGCGGCCGGTGACGGAATTGGCAAAACCCCCCAGCGCGAAACTCAGGCTGTGGTCGAACGCCTATCAGATGACAGGTATTCCTTCCGAGGAGATTGGGAAAAAGTGGTGGACGCAATTTCCGCCATCGAAGAGCTTCGATGCAGCGACTACATCTGCATCGGAACGGTGCGGATAACGCACAAATTGGACTACTTGACGGAGCTGCTGACGTCGGTGAGTGGAAACGATGCCAAAAGCTCCTCTCACGCCCCAAAGGGGCTTTCCCGTCTTCGAAGCTTGTCGAGGACCGACGACGATGGCCAAAGCCATTGCCGTAGCAGACCGCGCAACCCACTGGATTCTACGACAAGCACCAGGAAGTCACTCTCTGCGGGTGAATACCACGGATGGAGTACGGAAGCACCAAGCACTCTCGGCAATCTGGTCAGTACAGCCTCTCGAAACTCATATTCCTCCGATCAAAGGAGCCGTGGCAGTCGAGGAAGGCCCAACCACGCTTCGCCGAGTCGATATGAACCAGCTCCCCATAATCTTCTCAAGAGACAGCCGAATCCCAAAACGCATAAGCTCCTCAAGTTTAACGAGTACCTGACAGAAGACTACGACAACGCGTCGGTGATCTGCGGCAACTGCGGCTTCATCGGCCACACTCTGATCGACTGCATCTGGCCAGACAAGGATGGGTCAATATACGGGTGCCCCATGTGCAACACGAAGCTGCACTGCATGGACGAATGCCGGCTCCACAAGTCACTAACAGACAGGCAGCTCTGTTACATTCTCGTCTTCCGCAGGGCGAACAAGCCCGCCATCAGAACGACCCGGGCCTGGGTCGACCACGTCAGGACGGCGGCGCACCGGGACTACAGGGACCTTCTCGAAGCCGGGTTCCCGTGGTCGTGGAAGTTCGGGCGGCGCGTCCAGAGGCCGGAAAACGTCCACCGTCGTCCCTGGGACGCGTACGACTACGCGCGCAACTCGGAGCTTCAGCACACGCTCCCGCGGGACCCCGCGACGCGCGATCTGGAGACTGTGCTGCGGAGCCCTGCGCTGGCAAATGAGCGTCACAAGTCTGCTGCCAGCACCGAGCGCCACAGAGCCGGTGACAGCTATGTTGGGCGCGGGATCCGTAAGAACGCAAAGGACAGATCGGTTGAACGGGTGCCTGCGGACGAGAAGGAAATCACCTGGGAGAGCATATTTTCGGAATGATTGAGGGGCCCTTGAGGATGTCATGAAATTAGTTTGCAGGCCAAAAACATTATTCTTCAGTTACTTTTGTAATAATTTATAGATTTTTAAGACCTTCTTCCATGTGGTCATCATCGCCTAATGACGGTATTCACAACGCTCTAACACCGCGTGGCGAATCTCTTTGGGTGAATTAAGCTAAGTGAAAGATGAGTTTTTCCCAAGTTAATTGAGCGGCTTGATTGCCGGCTGATAGGACGCAAACCAGGAGACCTCTATTATTCCAGGGTGAGAGAACGATACGGTAGGTATACTTCATTAAAGATGCATTCTTCGCTCGGTTCTCAAGCTTCACGATACTCGGACTGTTTCATGCTAGGAACTCTTAAGTACCTGGCGGTCTTTCTGCTCAATCTTATTTCCACAGACGACGATAACCTACAACGTCAATAATTAAGTGTTTCGCCTTCAATCATTTCAGATGAGCTCCTGCCTCCAACTCGCCTGGTTGGCCTCAAACTTCTCTATTTTCCGATACTTCTTACTTCTATTGCAATACTTTCAATACAAAAAGGCATAAAAACCCCGAGGAAATAGCAAAAGCTCAGACTTGAACTTACGAGGCTCAAATCTTACGAATAGTTGAGAAGAGTAGTCCTCTTGTCGACGAGTTTTTTTCATACCAGTTGTATTTAACCGCTCGGCTACTGCGGCACACCTGTAACTCAAATAATGGAACAGAAGAATCCAGCGACCTATCTTGCTGAGAAGACCAGGGAGGCCGCCCTGGTTGTGCCTTCCCTTGTATGCTTACCATTCTGAACACCCGCTCCAAGGTAGGTAGGTAGGTAGGTACCTACCTAAGAAGTCTCGAACGCGCAGATAAGCGAGTTTCTAATCTTTTTCCAGTTTCACTCATGTAACTGAATTCATTCATTGGGAAGAATGGAAGGAAAAGTTCATCTCACTTGATTCATGCAAGTCGTGTAGGCTTCAACCCAAGGATCCATTAATACTTCACTCGAGCTGCTGAGCATCTCAGGTGAAGAACATGATAACAGGCCAGCCCACTACAAAAGCCAAATTAAGTTACGTAGTCTTACTACTTTTACAAGAGCTCAGCTTCTCAATATTCTGTCTGTCCTGTCCGTAATGTACTGATTCTTTCACAGCTCGGTGCCACCGAGGTGATCGAGTCACATTGAATGTCAAAGAAGAAGTTGGGATGGCGCAAATCTCCAGGCACCTTCCTACCTACATACGTGCCTGACATAACGTGGATAGGCGAAGCAAATCTTCTCGGTAAAAGAACTTGACCGGTCTCTTTCTGTTTCTCAAACCGCACCACGCTCGACAATGAGAAAATCTCTTCATACAACCTTCATAACCCACACAGCGCATGCTTTTTCTTCCGAGACGCGATATCTGACCCAATATCGAATTTCTCCAGCTATCAACTGATGTGCTGGCAGAAATACAAGCAACCACATACACCCCGGGCCGTTCAAGACACGTCATTACTTTCCCCGTCCCGTGCAGCAGACTATCACCATGCCACCGTCGGAAGTCACGACGCGGAACTCAAGCTCGCTGATCGACATCCGTTTCCATTTTACTTGCTACGCACAAGACGCCCTTCTTGGAAGTTGGCCAGGTGTCGAAAAGCCGGGATGGGAGGCCGACCGCTCATCTGGGCTGGACTGCCTTACAGTCCTCATCCGGCATATCAACAGCTTTCTTGAGCCCCAACGCAAAGGACCTTTTCATCCGGAAAGATTAGACGAAGAAGAGTTCGAGATCATGCGCCATGTCTGGAGAGATTTTGTTGAGGGCAAAGAGAAAGATCACGCCAAGGCGAAGTATCCAATCCTGAAAGCTTTCCTTCCGAGCCTGCGCGTCTGGTCCTTCGAAGACTGGTCCTTCAAAAACTTGGCCAATCATCAATCCATGGCTGCCACAGTCTGGAGTCGTCGTGAACACCGACTGTTCCAACATCGAATTGACCCAGCTTCAGAACCAGCCGTACAGAAGCAGTTGTCGACAACTATGGCAGCGAATAGTTGCATCGAAATCAGACGCCCCATTACTTCATGTCCTTTCAGCCTCAGTGAAGAGGTTGAGAAGAAGTTGGCCAATATGGAAATGTCTGATTCCAGCCATCTTCCCTCGAGTCAACGACCTGACTTCATCCGACTTCATTACATCCCAGGCGACACTGATCAAGACGCCTGGGACAACTTGAAGACTCTGGAACCGGTCTACAAGAGGACGGGGGGGGCACACCAACAGCTTTCTGACTTACAGATATGCATTGATAGCTGCTGTTCGCTTCCGTAACGAAGGCGAAAGCTGTTACGACCGTATCCGTCTTTTCAATCCTCAAGGAATAGCCATGCATCCCGGGTCGACTGCTCCTTACGCCAATCCCGACTGGAAGATCGGGGCTCCCGGATTTGAATAGTTCCTTCTCTACGCAAAAGCAAGCTACCCAGTAGCTAAACAGGAAGAGCCCGAACTTTTCATCGCTCACGATTACTTCTGTACTAAGAGCGAGTGTGACTGGCAGTCGTCTTGCTCGCATTTCCAGAAGTACCTGAGAAGAATTCGTCAGATGCGTGTTGCATCCATCAAAATGTAAGATTACTTCCCCATTTTCCAGTGCCTAATCTGAGCATCAATTTAGGGAAAGCGCAATCGAAACACCGAAAGACGATCTCGAGAATGATGATCAAGTTGAGAGCTCCATCGGCAACCTCAGCTCAAGCACCTTCAAAGATACAGTACCGTCAGCATTTCGAGGACTTCTGAAGCAATCTCCAGACCCGTTGAGACGCCCGATGGTACCATACTTCTATTGCACGAGAGATGAGGAAAATTCGCATGTAATTTGCGGAAGCTGCTCAGCTCAAGGTCACGCTCTCATTGATTGCATCTGGCCAGGCCCCTTCGGCGACATCTACGGGTGCCCACTGTGCAATACAACTCGTCATAAGTTCGATGACTGCGATTTTGTTGGAACATTGACGTCTTGGGAGATTTTTTATATACTTGTCTTTCGCCGGGCAAACAAGCCACCGATTATGACAAAAACTCCCTGGGCTATCTACGCGGATTTGTGGGAAGGCGAGGAGCAGACAATCGGCTATCCTTGGACGAAGGAATTCTCGAAACGAGTTTGGAAGGACGCATACACTGATAAAGACAAACAATTCTGGCTCACGTACGACTACTCTCAGGATTCCAAGCTCCAGGGAGAGTTACCGGTGGACCCAATGACCAGGGACAGCCAAACCTTCCTCAACAACTACGATGTTCTGTACGAAGAGAGGTGGAATTACAAAGAAAAGAAAAAGCTCCACCAATGAGATGAAGGACAAAAGGTTTCACTCACACATTTCCCGGTCCTATGGTTAGCAGAAGTTACTAAAGGTTGGACTGCGTTTGAGCCTTTAGGTTGAGGATGGAATATGCGAAATTCGTAGCGCAGTAGAGAATTTATGTTCTACTCTCAAAGCGTTGTCAGTCATAATTCAATTGAAACTACATCATAATGGCATAAAAATTGGAGCAAGTGCGCGGTCAACGGACGAAGTTCTCAATGATTAAATGCAGTCAATATGTCTATCAAGTCTTTTCTGGCGCGGCAACTCAACTAGCCTCGTCACGTCATCCCTCTCCACCGACCTTACCACCTTCTGATCGCCCAACTTATGTATCAAGGTCAGAGTAATTTGCCGTCATCCGTTCCTGTCGTCGCCTTCATGTATTCTCAAGCTCGCTTCGATTCTCAAGGCAAGCACCGTCGACAACTCCTCCCCGCCAGCAGAAAGCTTCAATGGATCAGATCCTGTTGGCGTCATACTCGAAGAGGCCGTCAAAGTTCCATAACATCTTGTACAGAATGATGCGTTCGGCGTGCGGTCCAGGACCATCCTGCAGAGTTCGAGCAGCTTCATTTGGAGGACTTGAAGAACATGTGCTCCCTTCTCTTGACGGACTCTTGGATAGAAAACAATTAGCGAGTATGTAAAACATAGCGGGAAAGGTATGAGAGCAACGATGAGGACAGTAACGACGAGGGCGGCGATAGTGATGACAGCGACGGTAAGCATAAAAGCAACGACAACGCCGCGGAATGATAACAAGATTGACGATGGGGGCAGACCAAAAATGTCACGAAGAACCAAACCATGATGACACAGACATGGATCGGGAGGGAGGCAAGTCTATGGCCACTTGAAGATCGTGGCACGGATCCATATTCGTAAGGCTCAGGTTATCATATCCCTTGGTATCATTCAACCCATCATCTCCTCATCCTCCTCACCACCCCCACCGCCCATCTTGCGCCGAATCCTCACGGCATCCTCGTCCCGCTTCCTCCGCTCGAGGCCCTCCTTGATCCAAGCATCGTACGCAGCATCGCCGCCCTCCACCTTCTGCGCGACGACGCCCTTGAGCACCTCGCCCGCGAAGCCGACAAAGTTGTGTCTGCGCAGGGCGTTCTCGAAGCGCCAGTTACGGCGTTTCTCGTTCTCGCGCTCGAGCGTCTCGGCGTCGCCGATCTCGCGGGCGGAGATGCGGGGGTCGCGCACCATGGCGAGAACGTTAAAGCGGATCTCGGAGCTGGCGTAGGTGAGGACGCGGTCCTGCAGGATCTGGGTGACCTTGGTCGGGAACTCGTCGGTGGTGCAGTCGCCGTGAGAGATGGGGGCCGGCTGCAGGCCGTCGAGCTCGTACAGTTTACCGTCGATGGGGGTGTACGCAATGAAGTGGAAGGCGTCCTCGGCCTCTCCCGTCTTCTGCGTCTCGTCGACGAAGGGGCTGCTCTTGGCGAAACTGTTGTGGACGTCGCGGATCAGCTCCGAGTTGCTGAGAGCCTCACCGCGGAACTCGGGAGGGAGCACCATGGTAAACTCGCGAAACTCGGACAGTTTGTCCCCAATCTCGACCTCATCCGTCTTGTTGAGAACGACGCTAAGGAGTGCTTGCGTGCCGCACGCATTTTGGATCGTCTGCTGGGCGAAGAAAAGGCGTTCGGCAGCGTCGCGGTCGTAGGATTCTTGTGGCCGTGCTGGCAGACCTTCGGAGGGGTAGCGGAACAGGAAGATTATGCCGTAGATGGGTTGCAGAGGGGCGAGCTCATCGGGGGAGAGCGTCAAGAGCTCCTCGAACTGGACGCCTTTGACGCCTAGGTTCTCGAGGAGGTAGGTGAAGACACCCTAGGCGGTTAGCTGGGTCGTCAGGTCGGACGCTGGTCACGTACTGCATCGGACTCGACTGGGGAGGTCAGTCAGTTGGTTCAAGTATCAGGTGAGTGTCCTTACTCGTATTCCATCCACTCATCTTGGCGATTGGTGAAGCTCGTGTTGGCTGGAAGTTGACAAACACTTCCAAGGCGCACAATTGACGTAAAGCTCTGGTGGGTCCCGTCCAGGCGGCATGTGGGGCGGACTAGGGTCAAAGATCTGCCGAAGCAGCTGGACTAGACGACCCCCCTGATGGCATGGATAGCAGGGCACGATTTTATCCTCAACATTTAAATTGCTATCTACAACTAATGTCATGACTATTATGCAGTAAAGACAACCCCACCTCTGAACAAATCAATCAGTGCACAGAGCGCGGTGTAACGGCGCGCTGTGGAATTGTGACCATTGCGACACCTTCCTTCTGGTCCGACGAACCCAAGCGTGAGCTAGGGCCGAAGGAGCTTTCATGATCAGGGTCATGCATGTTGAACGACCGCTTGCTATCAGCGTCTGCATGGCCGAAGCAAGCTTGAGCGCGGACGGCCCGGACGAACCAAGGTTGCTTTCCAGAACCCTTCCATGACCAGTACTCCTTCATGTCATACTCCCGAGGCTCCAGTCTGCCGCCGGAAAGCCAAACAGTCAGAGCAATCAGTCCGTTAAGGACGGTATAGACGAAGACGCCACTGATTCGTTAGCACAGAACGATCAAGACCGAGGAGAACTTACGCAATCAGACCATAGGCCACACTGTAAGAGAACGGGATGAATGTCATTACGACAAAAGAGGGTAGGACGTCGCCGATATAACGCCAGTTGATTTGAGTGATTTGGCGAATCATCATGCAGCCGACCAATACAAGTGTACAGCCGGTTGCCCAAGGAGGAATAGAGGCGAACACGGGGGCGAAAAAGATGGAGATGAGAAAGCATAGTCCGGTAGTCATCGCTGTCAGACCGGTGCGACCGCCCTCCGCGATACCAGCGCCGCTTTCGATGAAGGCAGTAACGGGGGAGCAGCCGAACAGGGAGCCGATAGAGATGCATGCAGCGTCGCAGCAGTAAGCGATAGTAGACCGCGGGAAGTCGCCATCCTTGGGGTCGACAACACCGCAGAAGCGGACCATGGAGTAGAGAGTGGCCGTGGCATCGATGATGTCAACGTAGAGAAAGGTGAAGAGAGCGAGGGCGAACTGCGAGCCGTTCTTGGCAATGTCCCAGTCAAGAGCGTTGAGAGTCTTCTGGATGGGATGGAACGAGACCACGTTCTTGAAAAAGTTGAACCGCGCCTCACCCTCCGGGGTGTAGGGGAAATACGTAATGGAGGTATTGCGACTGAGGGGTCAGCGAGGTTTGGACTTTGAGGCGAGAGACTTACGGCCACGAGAGGATAGAAACGAGAGAGATGCCAATGATGAGGGCATACTTGACACGGAAGGACATGAGGTACGCAGTCACGACACCGCCGGCAAATATCGCAGTCCACATCTGCGATTGTCAGCGAGACCCGATCATTGAGACGAACAGATGCTTACCTTCGGACTAGACATCAGACCGCCCGTACACATCTGGGTGTCGGGATCAATCATTTCGATGGGGCATCCGGCGATGGCGAGGGGGGTTGCCTTCCAGCCTCCAGTAATGGCGCCAATGCCGGTCGAGTACGAGAGACCAATCTCCGTGAGGAAGAAGCCGATACCAACTCCAGTGGCTGTCTTGATGGTGGCCGGGATGAGCTTCACGAGCCACTGTCGCATTCCGGTGAGGGCCAGGAAGATGAAGATGAGACCCTCGACAAAGACGGCCGTCAGAGCGACTCGGTACGGGATGTTGCCGGAGCCGTTGGGGCCGACGACTTGGAAAGCGAAGTAGGCGTTGAGGCCCATACCAGGACTGTGTTTGTTAGCCAGGCTCTGCATGCATGCAGGGGCACTTACGCCAAGGCGACGGGTAAGTTGGTGAAGAAGCCAAATACGAAGCTGGCGAGGCCCGCGATGGCAGCAGTTGCGGTGATGAGATCGAGTCGGACAGCTGGAGGCATTAGTCGAATCCTGAGAATAGGTTGGAGCACTTACCCTCCTTGCAAGCCTTGTAACTGGCGATCTGGTCGCATTCCATCTTGTTGTCCAAGTTGCATTCGCAATTACCGCCGGTCTGCGAGAGAATAATGGCCTGAAGAGTCAGCAATGGCCTGCCGCATGGAAAGCAGCACCACGTACATTAACGGCGATAATGTAGGCCATGGTCGCGAAAGTGGTGGCTCCAGCGCGAATCTCGCGCAGGAACGAGGAGTCAGGAATCTCCTTAGGCTGCCGGGGTCAGTATGGGCATGTCGAGCGAGGGAGATGAGGACAACGTACATGACCGCTCCCCTCCAGGCGAAAAATGCGTCCAAAGGTAGACGACGATATCGTCCTGTCGAAACGATGGACTGCCTTCCACATGGCTCGAAACTTGGTACGGACGCGGCCACGACTGTTGGAGGACCTGACGGACGGGTCGACTTCCAGGCGCTCCATGTTGGAGTGTGTCGACATGCTGCTCATGGTGGAAGAAGGAGAGTCGGTGGGCTTGCAGCCGGAGCGACTCGTTGAGGAAGAGAAGAGGAGGTGGTGACACAGGTCTCTGTACAGAACAAGGTTGAGATGTCTCGAATCTGTACGAGGGTAAAAGAAAGAAGAGGCAGCAGTCGCAATCCAAGTGGAAAAGAGTGGTTGGCTGCGATTCCCGCCTCTTGGAGATCGATCTGCTGGTCAGGCCAGGCCAGGTCAGGTCAGGTCAAGTAGAGGCAGGCTGCTGCGGGTGTTGACTCTCTGGGCAGCTGCACCGTTGAAAAGAAAAAAAAAGGAGCGTTGATGGAGTGAGCGGGAAGGGGCGAAAAGTGGCAAGAGAAGATATATCCTTGCTTCGTTTATTGGCGATCCCCTGGGCAATGAGCAATGAGCAACAAGGCCGGTGAAAGAAGGTGTGTTAGTCTTTCTTTTCCCATGCAGCGCCAATGCCGCGTGGAGGTGGAGACAGGGCGGGAGAGAGGCACAGAGGCAGGAGCTGTGAGGTGGTCCAGGCCGACGCTACCTTACGCAGCTGTCCACCTACCTTTTGGCAGGCACCTCCCGTCACTCTCTTCCAATGGCAACTTTCCTCAGGATGATTCCATTAGCTTATTTACCCTAGCCGTCATTGACTCGGGAAAGACGGTAGGGAGAGTTTGGGAGCCAACCTAAGCTGGTTGCCGTCAAAGGAAGGCGACATTGCCGGGGCCACTTCCAACGCCACTGCCAAAACGGGTTTGCATATCTACCTTCTATGGAACGAAGAAGGCAGGAGCGGCGACAACACCATCACAAACTACCTTACGTAGGAAAGGTCGACTCGAATCCCATGACTGATTATTGTTGTCCTAACCATTCCACAGACTACAACTCCAACGAACGCCACGACCTTAGAATCTCCCTCTCGTACGAGATGTCAGACGCTAGAAGAGACGATATCAAGACGACATGTCGATTCTGGACGAAGTCCATCTGTGCGCGACGCCTCCAAACCTTCTTCTTCAGCCATCGGCTCGGGCAGATCACATTGAACTGATCAGCAGCATGGAACGCTCGAGCTGCCGACGCTACGGACGAGCCATCATCCGAACATGGCATCGGGATCGCTAATTCGAACCACATGCTCAAATTGAAATGTGGTGATTTCGCGATACCTTCACATCGACTCATTACACCAATCTGACGAGTCCTCATGACGAACCCAAAGGATGAGGTCCAAGTCCTTCGGTCAGCATGGTGCTTCCTCGACCAAACAATAGCGGCATACAATGACCAAAGACCAAAGACCAAACTTCAAAGATGGAAGACCAATTTCATGCGGGCTGCCGGCTGGTGTTGGACAGCACAAGCGAGACATGTCTCGAAGCTCCTTGATAGGACCGCCAAGGTCGACCAACGGTACTCTGCATCATATGCGGGAAATTTGTCGCCTACCGAGATTGGGCTTGTGACAATTCCCTCCTTTTTCTGCGTCAGCCCCTCTTGGTGTTTGCTCACGGCTGACCTTGCCTGTCCTACAGCTGTCCGTCATCGGCCAGTCTCGTCGCGAGCCCTCAAGACATATATGTCGCACCTGTTCATGCACTGCTACGCATACATAAACCACTCTCGCTCCCTTCCTCGTTTTTGGGATGGGCTTCTGTAGTGGCCAGAGTTTGACGGCTCCGGTCCGCTCCACGTGGTTGTCACCTTTGTTAGCATGAGATGAATGAGCCGACGCAGTGGTGCTGGCGTTGATTGATGGATGTTTGGCGCCGTTGCCAACTGTCGGCGTCAGCCAGGGCGTTCGGCTAGACGTCGGATGTCGCATTTTCGCGGCATCGTTTTCTTGAACTAGAAAGGCGCATCTCCCGCGGATAAAGGACACAGAGCTGTTGAGCTTTGTTGTAAAAAAGAAACGGGCATCATGTTTGCTTTTCTATTGTCGTTGACAGCAAACTTGCTGAAACGGGTTAGGTCAGCCGCAAAAAATTGCCCTGCGCCATTGAACGAGGTGGCATTGATCACTCTGCGGCTTACCTGAGCTGGGAGGTCTCCGTAGGTGGGCTTGCAGGGCTTGGCCGAACGATGCATCGCTGAGTTGTGACTGGCTAGGGACCTTCTGGGCCGCTAGAACATGCTCCGTAATCCCCTGACACGGGCCCATTAGCGGTGCCAGTCCTGTGGGATATTGAAACCTGACCATTCACGGCTCTCTTGACCCTCTTAAAGTGGTTCTGACCCCTGAAGCCTCAAGGGGGGAGCCCTGCGCTAGATTGCCGTCCACCCTGCAGATCCACCGCCCACTCGCTTAGCCGCGTCGACGAGATCCTGGCTGCCTTCTTGACCTGCTTCTCACTCCATCTCACTCGGCCACTGGCATTGGACAGCGACGATGCATCTCTACACCCTTCCAGCTAGCCTCACTGCGCCACCACGTCTGTCGCCTTCTCGGTCGAGTCTGGACGTGGAGTCTGCCCCGAGACCGCCGAGCGGATACTGAGCATCCGCCTGGGCAACGGCGACGGCGATAGCCACGGCTCCTTCCCGCGAAACAGTCAGTTGGGACCGACGATATCGAATCCATCCTCGACACCCGGGGGAAACGCACCTGTCAGGAAATTCGGTACGACGGTGTGAACAAATCGATGGGGCACAATGGGAAGAGGAGGCAGCTTGCAGCTGTCTGGAGTGGTGCGATGACAGGCTGAAAAAACGGAGCAAACATGCATCCTCTGCTCAATGACATATCTCGGTTCAGCTCTGGAGCGCTAGACAGGCGTTCCATGCAACAGCCGAGCCGGGTACCAACAAGACGGCTAGGTCGCTCACAGCTGGAGCGGATTCCTCGATAGTCACAGCCCAGTGGCATCATCCGAGCTCACCTCACGCTGCCATGTGGTCGGCGAGCCAGATGCACGCCGGCCTTTTTTGCTCCAAGCTTCCGATGCGCCGGTCATAAATCCACATGGCACATTGTCAGCCAAGAATCTGCGTGCCAGGTCCAGGTCTGCCAAGGGCATTGGGATTCAGGAGGCAACTCCACGATGATGACAATGAAAGGACTCGGCGGACCAGTGGGGCATGGTATTATGAAGAAGCAAATCCAATTAAAAACGTCGACCAACATCTCAGACCAATATGAATGCCATCGGCACCGGCATCAACATCTGCCGGCTTCCACACTCGGGCTGCTGTGCTCGGTGCAACAGTCCGGGCGCACAGTTGCGACCAAGGCCGGCTATCATGTTGCTGGTGTAGGTCCCGTCCCATCGTCGTCCTGGCTTAGGCAGTCGATGAGGAATAAGCAATACAGAGTAGACGGATTGAGACAATGAAAAACATTGGGCGATGAGGACCCAATGATGATGTTCCAGATGGACGGGCGTCCAGGGACATGGCCGGCCGAACGCCACAAAATCTCAGATGACTGCATGGGTTGTCGGCGAGGGGGCAGCAGTGTGCAGGGCAGTGTGCAGTATGCGTATGTTAGTCCCAATTCGATATATGGCGAGACGGGGAGCACAAATTGATGATGGAGCTGGATCTGCACCGGGTCGGCTTGGTAACCCGGCCATGACACCGTACATAATCAGGGGGAGCGCGCACGATCACACAATGTTGCCGGCGGCCTTGCTTTGGAGACTGCAACGTACGTCCATTATTTGTACGAATGCCTTTTTCGTAGGAGCGACGTCCCCGTCTCCCGTTTCTCTCCCCTCTGGTACTCAGGCTGGTCCGACGGTTGGAGGTAGGTTGCCAGTTGACACGAGTACACAAACCAGAGCACGGCGACGCGCTGCATTATCGTGTGCAGCTGCCAGAACCACGGCGACAGGAGCAGCAGCAGCAGCAGCAGCGGCAGGAACGACAGCCGCACGTCAAGCTGTCAAATGCTATTCCTGTCAGCTATTTCCCACATCACCTTGAGTTTTGCCTTGACTGAGGTGGTGCGGGCTCGTGTCTCCTCTGACACACTAGCGGCGTTTTTTCCCACGCAGCTCCTGTCTCCTAGGCTGTCGCGCCTGCTTCTTTAACCTTTCTATCAACACCACTTTCCTATCCTCCATTACGAAATCCGGCCGACAATAACTTCCCTATCGTTACTTTTCTTCGCGGCTATCATCACCTCGGTTTCTTGCATCGTCTCGTTCTACCTTTGCAGGCCCTCGATGATTCGGGCTCCCGGGCATCACGGCTGTTTTACCTTCCAACCTGCGACTTCCTACCGCCGACTGTAACTATATTTTATTTTCATCCTCACCCGCTTCCACCGCAATATTCGGACGAACGACTTCCTCGGTCCTTCACGGGGTCCAACCACCGTACACCGTTTTTTCCGACATTCGGATATCGGGCATGAGACGTTCGACCGCTTGTCGCCTGCAGATTCGAGCTTCCATTTTTCCGCTGGTCCGCTTATAACCAGCATTGCCACGGCCCTTGAATTCCATTTTGTCACCAGCACCGTCCCGGAACCGACTGCCCATCATGTGGGAGGTCGTCTGGACTGATCCCGATAGGGAGTCGAGGAAAGAACATCGCGAACGCAAGGCCACCGAGAGAGAGCAAAAAGACAAGACACGCGCAGCTAGAAGCTCCATGTCTACTCGAAGTTCTTCATCTTCAGATAACAAGCCGTTCAGTTTCTTTGGATCCAAGAGTCTTAAGAGGACACTCGCCCCCTCCACCAAATCGTCGGCTCTCAAGGCCCCAAGCATCGACAGCACATTCAGAGGATCGCTGTTATCCGCAGCATCGGAGCCACCCCCAGCGGAACTCCCCTGCAGCCCCGTCACCACTGAGACAACGGTCGATCGCACCTTCGTGCCGGAAAACTTCATCGAAGACTCATTGGGTTCTCCGAGTTCCAATCGAGGTAATTGGCGCTCCATCTTCAACCATGCCACAGCTCACTGATGCCAGGTTTCATAGACTCTGTATTCTCCAAGTGGACAGACAACTCAAAATGGACCGATGTCTCGAGATGGACCGATAATTCACTAGCAATTCCGTCTTCGCCCTGCAACACTTCGGTAGCCGAGTCGACAGCCGCCGCCAGAGCATCCCACTATGTGCAGACCCTTGGACCCACCTCATACATCACCAAAAGCACCGAGGTGACCATCTTGCCACGAACCGCCGACAACGACTCGGCTGGCATGGTGTCGCATGTCACTATCACGGCCGAACCGGTCAAGGAGGAGCCTCCGACGCCACCTCGATCTCCGGCCATTGAGTAAGTCATCCCATCTCCGTCAAGAACCTCGCTAACAACCCAGACCTCAAACACCTTTTATCATAGACACGCCTGTCAATTTGTTCCCAGGACAGCCAATGCCAAGGCACTCCCTTCGACGGAAGCCATCGTGGACTACAGCCTTCAAACCCAATAATCCAGACGCCTGGAAGCCGCCCGATGCCTGGGACTGTGGTCCTCCCCCGGAAGTCCGGACCCCCATGGTCGAGGATGTCATTGAGGAAACACCAGAGCCCGAGTCTGGACTCTCCATGTCGATGGATCTTAACGGGATGCAGCGCGAGGTGAGACGGATGGCCGCTGCCAGTACGAGCATTCGCCTGCTGCGCTTGAAGGAGGTTTGGGGCGACACAAGCGACGCTAGTCTCTACAAAGAGTTGGAAATGGAAAAGAAACGGTGGATGCTGTCGTCCTTACACAACATGGACAGGCCAATGGAAGCGACCAACACCAAGAATGCCCCCAATAAGATCACGCCGTCCAAGGCGCGGAAGGTACTGGCTCTTTACGAGACACAAGGTGAGTGTAGGCTCCCTCGATTCGCAATGTCTGGCTAACGTCCCTAAGCAACCACCTCATACTTGGCGGCTCTCCACTGCAGCAAGAAGGTCTACCATCTTTCGTCTTCTCCGCTGTCGCACACTCTCTTCCCCAACATTCACCCGATTCGCGTGCCGGCAATCTCGCCGTCGGCGTTTCCCGTGGCCCCGTCACTCTTCGGGGCCGTCTACTCCCTCGGCCTCCCGGCGCTAGTACCATCCCCGGAGGTACCTGGTCTTCTCAAGAATGTCCACAGGTGTCTCTCGCCCGGTGGCACCTTTCACCTCACCCTAATCGACCCTCTTCCCGTCACAACCACCTTGGGACCCCTCATGCGTAGTTGGATTGAAGACAACCTTGTCTTCAACCTGGAAAAGAACTTTCGCTGCATGAATCCGAGCAAACTCTTCCCCCTCTGGATGGCAGACGCTTCCCTCCGTGCTGAAGGCAGTACCATCACCACAGTGAAGTTCTTCGCCATACCGCCCACCGACAAACCAGATACCGCCACGACTGACGACGAACAACTTGCGGAGAGAGCCATTAAGCAGGAGCTCCGCAGTCTTGTCGGCAGGATGCTCTGGAAAGAAGTATGGGGACAGTACATCACCGCCGACAAGTGGTGGTGGGAACACGACGAAATCGTCGACGAGTGCGACCAGCTTAAGACGTCATGGGAGTACAGTATCATCGAGGCAGTCAAAGAGGCGTGATGTCTGAACAGACGTGTTTGAGTCGGGAGGAAGAGCGGATGTTTTCTGATATGGCGTTGGGAGGCCAAATTTCTTTCACAATACCCCAGATGGCTGCGAGTCACTTGCTTCGCCCTGTGCCGAGGTTGGTACATCCACCAGGACTTGGTGGGAATCCATGTTTGCTGTTGTACTCCCATTTATCAAGTTTCTTGGGGACTGTCGGCAGGGTTACAGGTTTACAGGACTGAGCTACTTTACCTTTGGAATGAACTGTTGGAATGGCTGAAGCTGTCTTAGCACAGAAATGTCGAATAGTGCGCTGCCGTTCAATTAGCCCGGACGTAGACATGTAAATAAGGTTCTATCATGTTTCCGGAAAATTCGGATCATTCGGTCGTTCGCCCGGGCTGACCTTGCCATTCTCACCATGGGATCCCGACATCGTGAACTCCACGTCAATGGTCCAGTGTTCCATTCGATACCCCTGCATCCCCGCGCGATCCACCTCTCCCCACAGCCCCATCACGATGACCTCCGTCGTAGGTAGCAGACGAGAGCCTGGGACGGTTATTGCTGCTAATCCGGCGAGCCATGATGAGGCCATGATGAGATGAGGGCGCCGGCAGGTATCGGCGGTGACAGGTGTCATGAAATGCAGTGATGCGGCCCAAGCGGGCAGGAAGCAGTGCGACTGCGACCTCGGGTAAAAATTACCTCGTTCAACGGCGTTGGCGAGGAGCAGCTTCATTTTGGTACTTGGGTATGCACCCGCGGTTGGGGCACACAATGGGAGAATTTCTCGGTACCGAGCCAAACCATCATTGTTCGGAAGACTGTGGTTAAGGGGTGAAGGAGCCGCGAAACAGGAGCAAAACACACGGAGAGACAAGGGCGACATCTGGGCCACTTCGCAGCGCTTTGACTTGCGGTGTACGTAGTCGACGGTCCATTCCAGAAGCCATGTGTGCTTCACAGGGCCAAAGCGACTTGGCCGCCGAGAAGACCCTCAAGACACGGGGGAGGCTTGCGGAGTGGCGTTCGGGAAAACCGGGCAGAGACACCGCGAATGGACGCCGGCCGTTTTGGGAGGAAGAATCGGGAGGCTGGGGATCGGAAAGGACTACCAACGGCTCAGTCAACCAACCGAATGCTATGTTCTGTGCCGCCAGCTCGGGTTGTTTGGTGGGTTCAGGAAACCGCGTGTTATCGAGAGCGCCGTGAGGCGGATGAATAAGTGAGACGACGACGGCCAGAGCCGAGAACATAGAGTCAGCTCGGTCAAATAAGCCGCTACATATCCGTACAGTTTACAGAAACATGAATATGACGACCAGAGAACCACGGGCACACATATCTTGAGCAGTTGAGAAATTCAGCATTGATGTGAGTATTGAAAACCCTCCAACACTGACGGGTCACGCGGGTGTAGATGGACGCATCACTAAGCCTACCACAAATTGTCGGTTGGTTGGTGAACGGGTTACATCGCGCGACCTCAGCAGGAACTTCTGCCGTACTCCATATTTGGGATTCCTTTTTGCAATCGGGACCCGAACTGGTGATGGGCGTCTGACAGCTGCTGTGCCGCAGACCATTGACCAAGGCAATTTAACCAGGCAGGGGGAAAAGAAAGGTTCTTTTGGGGGTTTTGAGACGGACGCAGTCTAGATTGTCGAGCGAGTCAGCGCCGTACATCAATCAGATTTGTTGGTCGTTCTGATCTGAGCAAGGTAATTTAGATGACAAGAGACGGAAGAAAAAAAAAGGAAGAAATGAATTCTTGAAAGTTGAGTGCGGCACGGCTGCTCAGGCTGGGATCGCAGGCCGAATATCCGTCGCTGACGCAACGCGGCAAAAGCAACGTTTTTTTTTTTTTTTGGCCTGGTGAAACGGATCGGCTGGGGCAAGTAGGTCTCTTGTTATTCCCATCCATGGCCGCGTGCTTTGTTCTCGTGTTGGGAAGGAGCGATTCTCGTTCTCGCTTTGGCAGAGATCTTCGGATTGTGTCATTATTTCCTTGCTGAATCCGTTCGCACGCACACGGCTCGAGCGAATACTGTAACGGCAGAAGGATGGGATTTCGGAGCCTGTCATTCTCTTGAGCGGACCCAATTTCGTTGATCGTGTCTATCTAGTTGACGCTTGAGGGATAGAACAAGCTTCGCAAAGTGGTTCATGACTCGCAGCTGCAAAAAGAAGCTTGCGGATGCTGCACCCTGAAGCCAAGGCGCAAACCAGAAGGTGAGCTCTCGTTGGGAATAGCTGCGGAGTAGTGACCCCGGAAAAGCTGCAGGCCGACTCCCAGGTTCACAATCCTCCCTACCGCTGGATTGGAAAGTGGATGGTGATGCCCTGCAACGGACCCATGTCCGGGGAATAGGGGGCGACCTCGCCAGACGCATCCGCCCTGCATGTCGACATTGCATTGTTCGAACCTTTCAGTCTGCTGGAAATCAGGCCAAAAAATCCTCCTGGCGGCAGCAAAACGGCACGGCAGAACACCCTGTGACACAGAACGGAACGGCCGGCGGACGCGTCCTTGCAGAGCGGTCGGCAGTCTTGACGAAGAACAATTGGTTTGTTTGCTTGTGCGAATATGCCGTCTCTTACCGTCAGCCCGCCGCCGCTTCACCTTCTCTAGAACACTGCCCGCAGACCGTTCTTCGCCGATCATGGCGCTATGCTTGACGTGATGACTGGTTAGCACTGCCCGCTGCAGATGAGGCGAGATGAAAATCAGCAGAGTTAGAGTTTCGGGAGGAACGAGCCGTTAGAAAAAGCAGGAACACGGCCTGCTCGACGCCCACACGTGGAATTGTCGTGTCTGGCCTCCTCACGCGCCAAGTCTAGTGCACATCACTCAAAGCATGGTTGCAGTATACAAATGGTAGTAGATGTTTTCGTGGTCAAAATATAGTCAAACAGATGAGACAGATACCGCCAACTCCAGCCGTAATCGCAGAATGGTATACGCCAAAATAATCAATAGCAACAAAGGCGCTTGCTTGTGCGCCGGGTATCTTCCACAGAAACTTGTATCAACAAGTGCATCATGCCCGTGAAGGCTGGTCGTTTGAGCTCGGTCGGCTACTTGTAAGTTCCGTGATGCTCTCGCTCTCGAAGTTCTTGTTCCTGCGCGGATGGCTCGGAATCCTGAACTGGTCGCTATGTCGAAAGCTTCCAACGAGGTCCGTAACGTCCGGCCGTCGTGACGCATACCGGATGTCAGTCCAGAGTGTCTTGCAAGCCTTCCACGACGTTACCACGTAGATGAGAGCGTTCCAGAAGCCCTGAAGAGGGAGAACGAAAGCGCTCATGAAAGCCAGAGGGGTCGACGACTCCTTGGCGTGGATGACTGAGTAAACACGGTTGGCGCTCGACGGAACCCAGGTGATGAGAATGACGGTGAAAAATAGGATGGAACATTTGGTATACGACCATGCAGCGTTGTTGAGCTCGTAGTTGCGTCGGCGTGCTGAGTTCATTGGACGCTGGTTGGTGACAGCTTCAGCAGCCACGGGCTCAGCCGGGAGTGCAGCCTCGACCTGCGCATCATGGCGATCGTAACGGTTGGCAGAGATGCTGACAGAGTAGGCGGCGTCAGGAATACGTGGTTTCGGTCCGGCTTCAGATCCTCGTCTCGTCATGGAGGCCATGCCGATGGAGCCGCTCGGTTGGTCGATCGTTTCTGATGTTACGTAGACCTCCGTTGTCTTCATCGAAGTGAGAGCATCATGGAAGGAGTTGAGCTGGTCGGGGTCGGAAGAACTGAAGTCGCGGAGCTGCTTGCGCTTCTGGTAGATCTCGCGCCCAGCCCGAATGTAGATAAAGAAAGTGATCAAGATCGCGATCCTGCAAATGTTAGTGGGTGTCGCGTGGCTGGACTAAGCACCTACCAAACAGGCCCATAGAATGTCAGAATGCGCCAGATTTCCCAATCCGGCGTTACCCAACACCACAGAGTCGCATTTCCATAAACTCTTTGACCTTTGCCGTTGGTAACAAAGACATAGGTAAGTGCCGGCACAAAGGGAATGCCGTAGCAGCAGATAAGATACGGGATCTCCATCTTGCGAAGCCTCTCGGCGTCGAACTTGAAGTAGAACGTCAGATAGACGTTGATGGCCATGGTGAGCGTCCAGAACGCATCAGCCGGCATGAACCTGTGCTGGTCAGCAATGTTCGATGAAGTGAAGCAGGAGGTATACTGACATTTGAATAAGAAACGCCTGGAGCTGACAGCCGGGAGACGCCGGTGACTCAATGTACGACCTTGCCATCAAAGTTCCAACGTTGGTCATCATATTGCCGAAGGATGCAAAAAAGACGAGCCGATTGATGGGTTTGTGAAACGCTCTCGATGAGCAAAACGTGACGATAATGAAGACGCATCCTAGTAGTGAAAACACCGAACAAGTCCGTTCGATGATACTGAGGAGGTCGAGATCCCCTTTGTCCAGGGACACCTTCGTCTCTGGTTGATCCATGGCGTTTGTATGTGTCGAGCGTGAGAATCGAGGTCGTATTCCGAGTCGATTATATGAATGATAGAAACGTTCGGACCGAAGTTGTCGTCGGGGGGTTGCTGACCTGCGGCAGGTTGCGAGTCTTCAAGTATCCTTCTCTTCCAGCGACGTAAAAGGAATGTATAGAAGCCAACGTAAGTCGACTTCCCGTTCGAGAGCAAGCTCCTGACCGGGGTGAGCTGCAAGTGTGTGCAAGCGGATGTGATCCAAACCGTGACGAATCCAGGAACCAACATGATATGAAGGCGAGAAACAGAGGCAAGGAGGGTCGGGAAGTGATGGCAAAATGTAGGAAAAAAGAATAAAGCCAGTCATTGAGTAAACGGGACGCTGGAAGCCCTGGACCGTCGCATGGCTTGCTGGCTTGTGGCAGGGGCGGTACATGGCTGGATTGGCTAGGATGGTGTCGAGAGCTTGTTCCATGTTGGAGCAAGGTGTCTTAGGTACCTGGGATGGACGGAAAGCGGGAGGAGGCCTTCGAAAGACCTGGTAAGCTGGAGATTGGCTGTGGTCGCCTTGTCCTCTCCAGGATGACGGTCATCGTAGCTGGAACAGGCTAAGCGGAGGAATTAGCTTACGGCGTGTAAGTCCACACAGCCAGCTTGGCGCGGGGTCGGACGAACCTGGGGTCGCCGGGGTCGCCCCCGTCAATTCCCACAGCTGGCATGAGGGAGCAAGGCACCCCTGGAATCTGCTTCTTGTTGGCGACGTGGCTGCACTGCCGTATTTGGAGTTGGAATATCCGATCCTCGAAAAAGCCTGTCGTTCTCAATTTCATCGCGTGGCCGTCGGGTGCCCCTGAGATGCAATCCAGATCGCAATTTATCGTGTTTGTCCTATCAGCTAGCATACTAGCTTGCCGTAGTATTTTGTAGTCACAATGATTGCCTTTCAATGCTCGGGACTTGGACAAGCGAGTCGTAGTGAAGGCGGTGACGGAACGGAAGGCGAAGCTTTCAGATTGTCTCGAAGCCAGACTTTTCCGTAGCTCGCCGCCACCAACGATTCTGAGAGGACCGTCGACTTCAATCGTTTTAGTGAAACCCTTGTCAAGCCACAAAAGAACAAGGATCGCGTGCTGGTAATTGGGTGCCAAGGTGCCTCGCCTTTGGGAGCAGACAGCTAGCATGATGATTCGTGTTCTGGAAGGGAGCAGCGCTAGCAGGGTAATCTCAACCGGATAATCCGTCTAGGTATGCTCATTCTCATCTCGATTGAAGCTCGTCGTGAGCTGAGGTTGAAATCGACGGTTGAAAGGAACGTTTGGCTGCAAATCGCACCGAGCCGGTACGAAGAAACGGCAGGCTGTAAACGTCAGCTAGCAGCCAGCTGCATCAAACCGTCGTATCCGACGTTCTGGTACCACATTGAAGTCCGTCCAGGCACCTCTCTAACACGGATGGCAGACCACTAAGTTTCGACAGTCGACGGTGGGCCAGTGATTGACTGGCACAGAGCTGACGATAACTCGTTGCTTTCACCGGAACCGAAATAGCATCGCGGTAAGTCGAGTCCCTCAACTGATTCTCGCATCGAACCCTCCCCTGGCCAGGCTGACGGCACGATGCCGATTTTGACCACGTGGAGACGCCACTATCGCGAAGGGCCTTGAGGGGTTGCCGAACGGGAGATTGTCGACGCTGCTGAAGGAAGAGGCGTCTTCTTGCCGTCTGAAGTGTCGTCTCTCGTCGGAATATAGGACGAGACACAAGACGATGGCAGCGCTGTGACCGTGCCTAAAGTATTGGGGTGCCGCGTCCTCGGAGCAGCCACCGCCGGCGTGGATGGTGCATCCTGTTGACGGCTAAAATTGTCTGGCTGAATCAAGCCCTCACGCCCTCCCTCAAGTTTGGACGAGCTACGCGAAGGGTCCATGATTTCAGTCGTAAGCTGTGCCGCGTGAAAAAGTGGCCAGGGCAACTCTAGAATTCAGGTTGGTCTTGATTGAGCGAGCTCTGATTAGCTCGGGGCTCTCGATGGAAGACGGAGAGGCAGAATAACAGAGGCCGATCCCGGGTGAGCATGCAGATTTTGACATGCAGGGCGAGCTCAAGGGATTCAGGTAGTTGTTGTTGTGCTGAGTATGGAAGGAAACCCCTGGTGGATACGGACTCCAAATATCCACCCGACCCCCCGTGCTGGGTGGAGCTGAGGTGACCGAGCGGGGAAGTGGGGTCATTTCCCGGATGGTGGATTCTTTTCTTGGAAACGGCAACCACAAGCTTTCCAAACCAAAACACGCCGTCTCTTCAACCCAGCCAACTTACCCTACGAGTCCATCTGTAAGGCAAAGGAGCCGATGTTCTTGTCTTCGTGTGCTCATTATATCAAATTCATGCGCCATACTTAATCTCATTACTGCCTCGGATCTGGATGTGAATTCCAGGACCAGCTAGTGCGAGTTCAACGGTTTTCAACGGGCGCCAATCGGATGTAAGCTCATTTGGATTGCTATGTGACTGGCACGCGTCAGAAAACATCATCTTCGTCTTGGCTGGAGAAAGAGTCTCGACCAACCCCGATCCATTTTGGTCCAGCCTTGCAACACCGAGTATCTCTGGCACCGTCGGTCGGCCTTATGCCTCGGTGAGGAAGTGTCAGTTTCATGGACTGCAGGCCGTCTTGGCCAAGCTTATGGGCGTAGCCACCGGTATGGTTTGGCTACTAACGTAAATCTCGGATAGGTCTTGGCTTTTGGCTTAATCATACGTAACCCCAGGCTAGCGAGCGCATAAATCACACTACAGCCCATCTCATCGCGAAGAACCAGCCAGAACGCGGAGAAGCACATGGTCTAGCGGCTTGGCCCCATTCACCTCCAACAAGAATCAGTGGCATCATGATCTGGAGTGCTGATAACAAAAAAGCCTCTCAACGCCATCATCTTCATCCTGGCCCTTCTGTTACAGGGGGCCAGCCCCGACTACCACCCTTGCTAGTCAACAAGATGATAGTTGTTGCCTGTCGGGGTCTGTCTGTGCGTTTTTGTCAGGTTATTTCCATTAGCTGTTGCAACGCTGCCCTGGCTTGGTGAAGGATGGTTTCGTGCTCCTCGACCAGACACTCGTGGGGGAGTCGGGTTGCTCTCGATGTGCCGCTCTTGCCAGAAATCGGGGAATCGTACAAGGGATCTCTCCGAGTCTAGAGCTCGAAAGACGGTGCATCGGCCGACAAGATTGTTTTCGGAAGGGGCTTCGAGGATATGCAGGAGGTGATGCTCTCCGATTTGACCGATGGCAGAGCGCCAACATTTGCAGGTCTGGCTCGCAGCTGTGGATAGTTCTTGTCAAGTCAGACATGCACGCGCCATTGAATGACAGCTCTAGCGTCTGGTTGATCATCTGGGAAGGTATTCTGGATGAACATTCGCGCTGACAGGAAAGATGCGCCACCGAAAGCAACAAGAGAGCGGGACGTTCCACGCTTTGACGCACAAGATGGCAGCTGGGCCTCTAAAGCATCAATTCTCTGGACTCAGAGGGAATCAGGAGAGAAATCGTCCAATCCTGGACGGTCTTTCCTCGAGTACCTTGGTGAGAGTGGCCAAATCCGTCTCGCTATGGGGAGCGGCGGGACAACACCCCTATAGCTTCAATGGACCCCCATTGGTCAAGGATCTGTTTCGTCTTTTGGCTCGCCTACTCGATTCGACACTTATTCCGCTGTCAAATCATAGAATACAATGACTAGGTAGCGGTGCCGCAGGAGACAAGCTGTGGAGGAACTGCGGCTCGTCCGCTGGCAACGCGAAATCTGGGAAAAACATCGACTTCATTGTACTGCCGCCTGGATAAGGCTCTTGGCTAAGGGGGTCTGCCTTTCCAGATCTAATCCCGATAGGTGAGGACCATGGCTATCGAAATAATGAGCTGTGTGGTGTTGCGGGCAAAGAATGTTGAATTTACCACAACGGCGAAGAGATACCAAAATATGCGATCAGACTTCTTCATCTACAGCCCACACGTCATTGGAAGAATAGAAGAACAGCCAGGCAGTTGCAACTGACTGAGACATAGCAGAGCATCTGTCTTACTGTCCTAGTCGGATTGTATGACCCCGAAAGGAGTGGGAAGGAATGGTAGAGACGCCTTGCTCTTTTTGCGTCGACACTCGAGGTCTGGCTGTATAGTGGACGCGGTGGCACCAATACCTCACTTCTTCAATGTACAACGCAAGCATGAGATGTCTAGTCCTCAGGCTTGTTTCTGGCTCGTTCGAGGCTCGAGATTACACCTGTTGGACACTCTGAGGATGCAAGCCATCCAATAAAGTGAATGAACCTGGGACAAAGCCAACTTGGTTTGAGGCCCAACAGCAAAGACTTGATTCCACGATCTGCCATCGTGACGCCTCGTCAACCAGCAAAGAGTCACAAATAGAACAAGACAACAGCCTTCGACTTCTCTTCGATTCCTTGCCTTTGGGTCGTCTAAAGGCACCACGATCAGCTGGTGACCAGTCTCTTCCATCTTTATGTCGAGGTCAAAGAGGCTCCCTGCCAGAACCATCACAAATTAACTCACGTTCCAATACTGAAAGTCTACAAAATGACCACTTCCAGCAACGTCGTATTCTGACCTCCTGAACTTGTCTGGGGTAGCCTCTCAATTCGAATATGCCGCAAGCTCAACGCCACGATGCCTCGCAAACATAAATCCAATCGCCGCTCAACCAAGCACAGACAAGATGCCGTAGATTCCGACTTCAGCGTGGATAGACGCATCGTAAAGGACGACTCCCACTCTCGGGGCCGAAGAGACCGCAGTAGCAGCAAGAAGCGAGTCATCCCAGATACGGCCGAACAACTCCGTCCGCGCAAGCATAACAAACACCGCCGCTACAAACTTCGCGCGGATAACGACGGCGATTCCGCGATGCCCCCGACGCCACCTTCAAGCCCGCTGCCTGCAGACGAAATTCAACGCTCTTACAAACGGGACAGCAACGGCTCCAACGCCCGCAGACGCCACGTCCCGGAAATCCCCACCAGACAAACCAAAACTTCGCGGGGCAGACAAGAGCCATACGGCGATTCGGCCATCAAAAACTACCGCTTCCGTCACCATGTTCTGTCCCTTCTCGACCAGCAACGAGATGTCATTGAGACGTGGGCGGACAGCGTCGGCGCCGGCGGTCCCGCGGAGCCGATGGACTGGCAACCGGAGCAAGAGCGGATCGTCTATTTCGCCCGGCTCCCCGTGGAGGACAACTGCTACGAAAATCGGTGGAGAACCGACGAGACGAAGGATGAGGCGCCGGCGTTCCCGAACTTGGGGTCGTGGGCCAGCGAGCGGTGGCTCGATGGGTCGATGATGTGGGGTGGTGCTCCGGCAGTTGGACCGGGTCTGGTGGAGGAGATTGAATGACGGCGGAAAGACATGTCTTGTCGTCAAGCCTGGCGGTGGAATCAAGAATTCCAACTAGTCCTAATCAACTGCAATTAAACTGCCAACAGACGAATAAAGTACAAGACCATTAACATGTCATTCGCAAAGGGCTTTTGATACCTAAGGGTTAACATGCAAGTTCTGAACTAGACCGTCCTTTAAATTCCTAACGCCTGTCCAGATGAAGTCCGACCGACCAAACCCAAGAAGCAAAAGTCAACCATCGTGGGAATCTCGCAAATGTACAGATTCAACCGCTAACATCCCTCCCCGCGTATCGCATACATTTTCTTTCTTTCTCTATTTCGCGTAGCGGTTGTACTCGGCGGCAACGAGGCAGTGGTCACGCTCGAAGGGTTCTGCAAGCAAAGTTAGCTTCAAAGCTGGCGTAGTTCTCAAGTCGGACAACACATACCTAGCGTGAGCTGCTCCTTGGGAGCGATGCGCTCCGCTCTCAGCTTCTCGACCTCCATGGCGAAAACCTTGTGAGCAGGGGCAGTACTGTCGATACAGTTGGCCTTGATGGAGATGAGGATACCACCGCCGACCTTAAGGAACTGGTGGGCGTTCATGGCGACGATACGGGCCTGATCGGGCTGGGCAACGTCGGCGAAGATGGCGTCGACCATGGGCATCAGCATGCGGTACTTCAGGGGCTGACGGGCGTCCTCGACGATGGGGACGACGTTGGTGCGCTTGGCGGCCATGCCGATCAGGTCACGGCCGGAACGGGGAGAGAACTCGACGGCGTAGACGAAGCCGGTGGGACCGACGATATCGGCAACGTGAGAGACGGAGGTACCGGAGGCACCACCGAGGTAGAGAACCTTGGAGCCGGGGCCGAAGTACATCTTCTCGAGACCACCGATGACGGCGGCAGCCAGCTTACTGCGGAAGGGGTTCCAGACGCGGTACTCGACCTTGGTGGTTGTGGTGGTGCCGTCCTCGTTCTGGACGCTGTCGTCGACGGAGACGCGCTTCTCGCCGTAGACGGACTCGCCGGGGACGATGTTGCGGGTTGCGATGGCGTCCTCCTTGCCGCGAACGACGAAGATACCCTCGTGACGGTGAGGCTCAACGATGACCTTGTTGCCGCCCTTCATGCCTCCGGGTCCTGCGCATCACGTTAACAAATCACTTTGGGGGCCCTCATGTTTGGGGGATCGCGCGTTGAGATTTCACTTACCACCACGGCCCTTTGAGACACCACCGCGTCCGCGAGCGCCTCCGCGGGGAGCTCCACGACCTGAGGATGTGTTAGTTCAGACTGCAAGCAGGAAATCCAGAGCGAAGTCGTTGTACCTCCACCGCGACCACCGAAGCCGCCTCGGCCACCGCCACGACCACCGCGGTCGCCGAAACCTCCCCTGCCTCCGCGGCCACCTCCTCTGCCGCCTCTGTCGCCGCCGAAGCCACCGCGGCCACCGCCTCTACCGCCGCCGCGAGCCTGGAAAGGAGCCATGTCTTTTTATCGAGGTTGGTATATATGAAAAGAAGATATGTAAGACTGGCAGTCCCGCGTTGTGAAAAATCGAATTGGTCAGAGGCGCAGGTTGGTGATCCTCTGATGGCGGGTTGGACACTGGAGATACTAGCTAGTGTTGAAATTTTTCAGGAACTTTTTTTTTTTCTGAGAGCTGCAAGGTCCGACATGCATTGAATGTGGGGTGTCAGCCATGATTGGCTGTCGCGGAACTTCATTCTACCGCTCTCCGGCATGATTTTTTTTTTTCGCGATTAGATAACGACCCACCCTGGAGAACACTGGGACGCTGGACAGGTGCACTTGCACGAGACGTCCAAATAATTCCCATCGCTCCGACAATTCCAAACCAGCTGGAAATTTTTCGACAAAAATCAATTGGGACTCTCCGACTGTCCAACTTCAGGTACGATTCTTTTCCCTATGACTTTCATCCATGTTTGGCGGGGGAATGGCCTTTTTTCTCCATAGGGCTGCGGAGCCCTAAAGGCAGACCCCGGCCGTTGCCCGATCCGCAAGCGAGCCAACCCGCGCAGGAGGGCTAGGGTCAGTCAAACTTGTGAATTTCTTCTAACCTTACTTTGCCAGCCCAGACGACGACACCGACGCCGAAACCATCACCACACCCAACGATCAAGATGGTAAGTGCTTGCTGCTCCCCATCTGTGCGGTCATCGAGAGCGGAGGAACGGTCGCCCTTTTTTCCCCAGCCAAAGTTTACGCCCACGCCGTCGCTGTGCCGCCGAGAAGAAATTGTTGCCCCTCGTCATTTTGTGGTGGAAGAGCTTGGGAAACGGAAGACGGAGAAAATTCGACACGACCGAACACCGAAGCCTTGGGAGGACCGCATAACGCAGACTTGGTGCACCAGACTGACACGATGGCCGTTCATTAGGTTCGCTACGCTGCGCACGAGATTGCCCCCGCGAAGTCGGCCCGCGCCCGCGGTTCCTACCTCCGTGTGTCCTTCAAGAACACTCGTGAGACCGCCCAGGCCATCAACGGCTGGAAGCTCCAGCGCGCCGTCAAGTTCCTCGAGAACGTCCAGGAGAAGGCTGAGGCCGTCCCCTTCCGCCGCTTCGCCGGTGGCATCGGCCGCACCGCGCAAGGTACGACATGATGTCCCCGACACCGACGTCGACGAACGAAAGGGTCGATGAGGGTCACAACACACATGGAGAGATGGGACAGAGGTACTGACCCCGATACAGGCAAGCAGTTCGGTGTCTCCCGCGCCCGCTGGCCCGTCAAGTCCGCCGAGTTCCTCCTCGGCCTCCTGAAGAACGCCGAGTCCAACGCTGACGCCAAGGGCCTCGACACCGGCAACCTTGTCGTCAAGCACATCCAAGTCAACCAGGCTCCTAAGCAACGGAGACGCACATACCGTGCCCACGGTCGCGTACGTTTCTTGCACCCGCGGCGAAGCCGATGCCACCAGACCGCTAACACCCCGCGCAGATCAACCCCTACATGTCCAACCCCTGCCACATCGAGCTCATTCTCACCGAGGGCGAGGAGGTCGTCCAGAAGTCCGACGCCGTCGCTGGCCGTGAGGAGGTCCGCCTCAACTCCCGCCAGCGCGGCAGCCGTGTCCGCCAGGCCATCACCGCCGCATAAGCGACTGATTTCGAGTGCGGGATGACTGGTGTAACGCGAACCTGGAGAGGTCTTGGGTTGATGGATGCGTGGAAAAATTGCGGCTTTTCATATGCTGGTGTACAGGATGGCTATGGTCTCATGGCATTTAGGGATTGGCATGCGAATTCACGCAACGGTCTGATGGGCCACAAATAAACAAACCTGCAAAAGTGATTCCCTACAGCCTAGATGAGCATCATGACTGGCGTCGAACGGATAAGGATATGCATTCAATTAGACTCCATGCCTCACATCCATGAGTGAACGCTGTTCAGTGAAATGACAACCTGTTTAGGTGCTTCTATTCTGACATGTGACGCTTTTCCGATCCATGGTATCAATGTCCAACGCCTGCCGCATGTACGCCTCCAAAGCAATCCTCAAAATGCTCGTGATCCACCGTGTCATTATGTAACCAGTTCCCAGCCCATCTAGCTGACCGTCTTGGTAATGTTGCCGCTGAAGCGGCCCTTGCCTGGACGCAAGACCCCATCTCGCTTGGCAGCCTCAATGACTTCTTCTTCGTAGACGTTGGTCCACTCACTGTCCATGCCATACGCAGTTGTCAGGTTGTACTGTTCCTGCGTCGTTAAAAAGTTGGTGATCCGAGCTGCCATCCTGTCGGGGCACATCTGCATGAAGGATAAAAGCTCCCTGCGCCTCGTGGTAGTTTCTTGCGACTCTTGCCAAGGGGGCCGGGTAGGTAATGTGCTGAGGTTATCAATAGCAGGCACATCCAAGCATACGTAGCCGCACGACTTGAAAGACATGGATTCGATGGAAAGATTTGCCTTCTCGGGTTGCCGGGGGACAAAACGGTAACCCTCATCTTTGTTTGGGTCATCGCCGACCGATGCGTCGTCAACATCTTGGGCAGAGGTGAGCTCTGCAATGGTAGGCGCGGGTGCTAGACGCTCGATTATTCCCGCCCAGGTGAGTAAGTCAGGACGCCGCAATCGCAACCCGCCGAGTTCAAATTCTGCTTGGGCGGGACCAGCCACTGGCTGGACTTGCGCATTCGCAACAACATTGAAACCCTGAGCGGCTGCCATGCCTGGCTGGATATGTGGTAGTGCCGGTGGTTGAGGGTTCGCATTAGGCGCAGGCGGCAAAGGTGGAGGCTGCGGAGCGCCCGCGTTGGCAGGGCCCTGAGCTGGACCGTGTAGTTGAAGCTGCTGAACAGCCTGGTGTGCAACGAGCGGTTGGAGAGGCAAGTGTCCCGCGGCGTGCCCTTGCATGAAGACGGCTATGTGCCCCTGACGTCGCAAGGGTGGTCCCGTCAATGACACAGTCTCCAGCTCCAACCTCTCGAGAGACTGCTCGCCCATTGTTCGAATGACCTGCAAAAATACGTGCGGTGTGCTGTAGCAGTTCTTCAGAGACAGATGCTTGATGTGCGGCAATGAAAGTAGACGACCTGGTACCATGGCAGTGTCGTGACCCAGCATCTGGGTTGGAGTGCAGAAAGGCGCCGGAAGAACATATGAGTTCCTCTGTGTCAACCCTGGGGCAAATTCACCGCCACATATCCACTCGAAATGGAGGAACGTGATGTTGGGCTGCTTCGAGATATGGTCCTGTAGCAGGCCGTGAACTTTGGCGACAGCATCCACCGGAGAGACGGAGTAGTCCTCGACACACCCTGGAGCAACCTTGGCCACATGACGCCAATCCGCAACAACTGCAAGAGCGACATTTGTCAGATTGGGCAAACTTTGCCAAAAGTCGGGTCGCTGGAACATGAAGATGTGGCTGCTGGGTATCTTTGCGATTGTCAAAGTCGTTAGTGAGCTGAAGCTATTCGTACGAGCATTGTCGATGAGGGCAATCACGTATGACTGAATGAGTGCCCGGTGTGCCCACTCAAGCTCCAACAGCATTTCTTTCTGAGCTCTAGTCAGATTTCTTGGCTGCAAGGGATGAGCGGATGTCGACTCGCTTAGAGCCACTGCCACGGCCCGTTGCATGGTGTCCTCAGCGTCGCCGTCGTCGGAAGGGGGATTCGCGTTGGCGTTGGCGTTTGCGTTTGCGTTGGCATTTGTAATCATATTATTGACGTTGTTGACGTTGTTGACGTTGACAGCTTGGGTTTGGCCACCGAAGTTGTGGCCATACGAGCCTAGTTCCATGGCGGTGTTGCGCTCGTCGAAATCGATGTTCATCAGTGACACATTTTCGGTGCTTAAAAGCATCGAGATGGCGTCTTTGGCCTGGCCCTGCGTGTAGCCCGCGTTCCTCACCATCGACTCCAGGACAGTATACTTGAAGTCGCGAGGACTTTCGAATGCGAGCTTCCGCGCGTTCATGCTAGCCGATTCAGATCTCCCCATACGTTGCTGCAGAAGCCTGTATCGCAGATTGCGCAGGCCAAATACTGGATGTGGCAAGGGAGGGCTCTCAAGCTGCTGGTCCGGCCCCAGAAGATAACCCAACCCAGCGTCACAGCATAGTCCAAGCTCCTGCACCTTTGACAAGCACCTCAGGGCCTCTTTCATGGACGCGGTTTCGTCGGCGGTCTGCTCCAAGCCCTCGAGTTCCGTATAGCGATGGTACGACTCGTGGGGCCACCTGTAAATTCCCCAGTAGGAGGTGACGGCTTTTTGAGTTGGCTTGATGGGAGGGTATGCCAAGCTTTCCTCATCCAACTCCAGAGAGAGGGCGAATCGGAGGATGTGATCGCCAAAGGACTGAAAGATGCGCATGCCGCTCGAAAAGAGCGTGTCGGTGCATGGCTGGGTCGGGAGGTCGTCGTCCTCCTGCACCGCCTTCCTTGCCTTGTACATCTCGGAACGAAAAGGAACGACGACATTGCGAAAGTATTTGGCCGAGACCATGCGGTCGAACTCATGATTCACCAGGCGAAGATTCTTCACATCGGATCGAGACAGGTAGGTGGTGATCTCGTCGAAGATCTCGACAGGAACCTGGGCAGGCGGCCAGGTAGGCGGACGCGGGTTCGAATCCATAGAGAGCCTTCGTCGTTTGCGGGGCATTTCCGAATGAGTATCGGCTCGTTTATTCATGGCCGTCGAGGTGTCGGTTCATGGACCGAATTGCCTGATCGAGGCGTCGAGCGGCCAAGGTCGCGGGTCAGGTGGACGTGGCCCGAAGAGACGGCACCCACGGGTCGATGCCGTCGGCTGCCTGCGATAGGTCGGTTATGAAGAGAATTTGAGATATAAAGGTGTGAGATTGCCAGGCCAGTTGAAGAAGGTTTGCAATTTCTGCGGGCACTCGGAATGAAATCAGGCAATGGCCCTCGCGACTGTGGCTTCCCGTTGAAACCCGGAAAGCATAAAAATGGAAAGGCAGTATAGCAAATAGGGCGGCCGTAAACCTCGTTTCTCGAGAGATTATTGCACGCAAGGCGGGATAGAAGTTCAATGGTGATGCGATTCGAAGGGATGTTGTAGAGAAGAAAAACGACGAGGTCAAAAGCTGGCTGGAGGAAACCTGAGGTAAGGTATCCGTAGGCTCAAGTCGCGGGATGGAGTTGGTGCAGGTGCAGGTGCAGGTGCGAGTGAAGTCACTGAGTGCTTGTGAACCACTTTTTTAGCGTCTTTTTGACGCAGGAGTAATGGCCATTGGCTGTTTGCGGACGACCCGGCAGTATGTGTGGTCAGGGCGCAGATCATAAAAAGAAGTTTCTTAGCGGGGAGGGAGACACATGGGATTGTTTGGCACTCGGCCTTTCACTCATTTTCATTGTCAGTCCCGGGGCCAAGGGCCAAGGGGACTCACACCCCTGTCCTGTTTTATGGGTCTCGCGGTAAAAGCCGGGGCGGGGCCAAGGTAAGCGGGGTTGGCAGGCAAGCAGGGTCCAGACTCACAGCAGGTGCAGTCAGTGGTAGTAGTCACCACATTACTCTTTACCTTGACGATTTTTTACCCGGGCCGTGACACTGGGCAGTACGTAACAATCATGAAAAGGTTCGGCTTTTACCAATGAAACGATATGCGTGGAATGGCTTCGAAATTTATCATATTACTCAAGTTGATTAATGATTAGATCACCATCTTCTTCTTCGTGATCAAATCTGACTCGCAGCTGACGCAACCATTTTTAAGATTATCGCAATGTTATCTAAGGTAGCGGCTCAATCTATGGCCGGCCAACTCAGCCACGGGAATGCCGCGGGTACATGATGGTATATCGAATAGAAGTGGTACATATTTCACATAAAACCCCCAACGCCTGGAACTAGCAGTATCTTGTTACTATTGCCGCTCACGGAGCCGCAGACTTGACCGGAGCGTCTCCCTGATAGAACCAGTATCTGGTAGGCTGTTGTTAGTGATGATGATCTAATCAATGACAACTGAGCAGACTCACTGAGCGGCATATTGGACTTCGAACGCAGCGGGCTGGCCCTTGCAAGTGGCGGGAGGACTGCCACCAGCGGTAGTGATTCGGTAAACCTCTTGGATATCCCCGGTGCTGCCCTCTGTCGTGAGAAGCTTCAGCCACGCCACGGCACTTTCACCCTGCTGGCCCTTGGCGGCCATAGTGGGCGCGGGGATCGACGAGTTCTTAGAACAGTAGGCGTCACCAATACTGAGACCCTCACTCTCGAGCTTGAAGAGTGGGACCCCGGCACTGGTGAAGAGGTGGTGTCCAGACACGCCGAGACTGCTGGGACCGAGGCGTTGGGGACTTTCGTTATTGTTGTTGTCCGACAGGTTGAACTGCATCGAGACCGAAGGAAGCTTTTCGAGAAGGTCGGGGTACATGGCAGCTACGCAGCTGGCGTTGAACAAGGTTGCTACGGCGCCGGTGGCGACGGGGACCGCTGTTGAGTTGCTGGTATCGCATGTGTAGTTTTGGGTACCGCGACCGATGGCGACGTGCTTTAGAGTCAGACCCTTTGAGGGAACAGGAAGGTCCTCGGCAGCTAGGTGTCCAAGTTAGTGATAGAAATTCCTCCGGGACCAAGATACGCACGAGAAATCATCTTGGCCTTGCTCAAGTCACAGATGGGCTCAGCAGAAAGATATCTGAGGGCCTGGACCTTGTTGGCGAGCATGTTGAAGTACTCGGAAATGTCCTCGATGTTACCCGGCAATGCGGCGTTGAGGTTGAGGATGGGGTATGTGGGCGCCGCCAGGGCGAGAGATGCCAGAGTTGGCAGCAACAGACTTGAGAAATGCATAGTGGTCTGTCGGTTCTGATGTGGAGGAAGAAGGCGGGCGGTAGTGTTGTTCGTTGGTGAGGTTGATTATGCTCGTTCCAGGGAATAAAGAAATGACCCAAATCCAAACAAGAAAACCGAAGACCAAGGAAACTGAAGATAGGAAACGACGAAGAAACGGAAACGGAAAAGGGAAAGATTCGTCTCTGAATATATGAGATGAACCGTGTGGTGAAGAGCGAGGTAGTCAAGCCTCGAGTTGTAAGCGGCCAGCCGCTCTTAATATAACACAACATCATGAACTCCTCCGCGGCGGCAAAGACGTCGACTGGCCGCTCCATGTCGCTGCAGGGACCGACCTGCCCAGACTGGTATGGTCTTCTGGTTCAAAAAAAGATGGCGGGGGAGGGTAGCTAGGGTGTGCCGCTGTGTGTGCAAGGCAACGCGTGGGTATTCGTAGCTTTCAAAGACCAAGACTGGCAGCCGCCATGCCATGCAACCGTACGACGGCGGGAGAGGACGAGGACTGGGGTGAGGGGTTGAATGAGAGCGAATCAATCAAGGGCGAAAATGCAAGTAATGTCAAGGTGGGTGGGAGGTCAGCGATCTTCGCCAGGGTCAATGAGATGCAAGCGCCCGGCCCGCTCAATGGCCTGATTGGAGTTAATTGACGGGGCCACTTCTCCGCGGGCTCGAGAAACAAGATGTTGCCCGACGTTGTATCCAGGGACCGTGATCCCATGATTAATATGAAGGTATCACGAACAGAAGGAACTTCCAACTCCGTGTCATCATCGCCATAGTTGGTTCTGTTCTCTGTCACGATGACCGTCCGAAGAAATGCGACGAACATGAAGACAGAAAAAAAAACCGAGCCTGAAATAGCTCATCGCTTCAAGACTGCATCCTCATAGGCCGGCCGAGATTGTTGGAGACGGTACGGTATTGTACCCGTCTTCTCCCCGGCGACGCGCCCATGTTGCAGGTATCCGCTCTTGTACATTGCCTTTGCCGCGCTGCACCACGCCGTCTTCGCCATCTCATTGGCTGCGGGGTTCGACTCCATTTCGGTCGCAGAGACGGGCCAGCGCCAAAAGGCTTCCATCGAATCGTCTGCCTCCATTGACATCGGGAGGTAGGCCTGGCCTACGACAAGAATAGAATCTTTGGTGGAGAGCCACGCGCTGCTGGTGCCAGGTTTGCGCCAAGAAGATCTTGCATCTTCTTGGTATCTCTAAACGTTCCTTGTCCATGGTGCTCAAGTGATCTGGTATCTGTATTCTGATGAGATTCCACTTATGTCACAATTCATATCCATACACAATACAATACCCATACACATAACCAGACGCCCAATCGTACAACCGCAATAACAAATGATGCGTACGGTACAGATAGCCCGCCTCGTCCGGAGGCCTTTCATCTCCAGTCGTGTCTCGCCGTGGATGGCTTCTATGGCCACCTTTATGGTCGCTAGTGCCCGTTGAATCCTTCTTCGTGCCAGTTGCCATGGCCGTCGCCGGCTCTGTTGGCGCCTCCCGCGCCCGCGGCGGCGGCTGCTGCTGCCGACTTTCCAAGGTTGCTGGCGTGCTTTTCTACGTCCACATTGCCGAGCCAGTACAGAGAAAAGAAGACGAGCAGATGCAACGCGACACAGTACGCCGCGAATAGATTTCTGCTCATCCGGGAAGCCAGCACCATCCGCGTCACCGAGTACACCACGCGCTCCGGGAAGCTCATTCGCTTGTATGCCCTGGCCGACTCGCGGCCTCGGAAGGCGGCAAACGGCGAGATGTTCGACTCATACGCCTTGCGATACCTGTCCATGGTGATGCCCGGGTTCCCGGTTCCTCCAATTGAGACCGTTGACGGGTTGGGGTTTGATGAGTATGCCGCCGACGACGACGTCGCTGACGGGCCGGCTCTGTTGTACGTCGAGACGTACCTCGTCTTCTCATACAGATTGAGATTGTCCTTTTGGAGTGCCGACACCTCCTGTCGCAGCTGCGAAACGGTGCGGTGGCTGTCCGACAACTCACCCTCCAACTGGGCTATCCTCTTCTTGAATCGGTCGCGCTGGGCCGTAATCATTGGAAGTATGCCCGAGCCACCGCCCATCGGCTCCTCGCCGACTGTGCGGGGGTTGATCCCGCTAATGATGGATGATGTTGGCGACACCCGCCCGCCCCCTCCTCCTCTTCGACCCGGCGCCACCGAGGGAGCGTACCGGTTGAACGTGCCCGCTACAGACGCGCCCGACGGGAAGGCGTTGGAAGACTCGGACTGGAGAGTGGCCAGGTCATTTTCCAGTCGCTCGTTCAACTGTTGCGACTTCTCAAGGTCCATGTTCGTTCTTGACATCTCCTCCTGCAGGTCGGACAGCTTACTTTGCAGGTCCTGATGTGAGACGCGCAGGATGGTGAGCTCGTCGCCAAGCTTTTTGTTACGCGCAAGAAGCAGCTTCTCCAGCGTGTCGCCTTGGCCCTTACCCTCAGCAGCGCTTTCGGCAGCCTCTCGTACATCATCGTCGTCGCCTGTTGAGAACTCGATACTCTTGAGCACCTCAAGCTCCTGTTTGACATCGTCATAGTCGCTCCACTTCTGGACCTTGGCCTTAAGGTTGTCCCTTTCCTCCTTGAGCAGGCCAACCTCCCTTTCCAGACCGCGAAGCCTGCTGTCGAGATCACGCTTGAGGCCTTCTTTCTCTACTCGGGCCGCATCAAGTTTGCGAATGAGGGATGAATTTTCAGACCGCATCCGCATGTAGCCCGGATCATCTTCCAGCGCTGTTGGCGTTTGAGCGGGCACAGAAGACTTGGCCTGTGCCAACTCCAGCCGTAGCTGCTCGTTTCGTGCTTCAATCTCTGCCAGCCTTGCACTCGTCCGGTCCAGGTCAGAGTGAAGCATCTCAATCTCGGCGCTGGTGACGCGGGCCTGGCTTTCCTGATCGTCGTCGTCCGTCTTGCCCAATCGCTGGTTGACTTCGTAGCTTGCCTTAATCTCATTGAGCAGGCGTTCCTGGTTTTCAACCTTTTCTTCCAGCGTCTTCTCCTTCGACGCCCAGTTGTCCTTCTTCTCATCGAGAACGGCAATCCAAGAAGCCTCGACCTCCTTGACCCTGGTCTCCAGACTATTTTCAAGCTCCTTCTTGGCCGCAGACTCGGTCTGCAACTTCGATTCTGTCTCCTCCAGTTGTGTCGTCAGCTTGGCGACGGACTTTTGCAGATGCTGGTTTTCTTCGGTCAATTTCGGCAGAGTGTCCTCGGAAACGAGCATAGAGTCGACGGATGCCTCGAGAAGGGGATATGGGTCGGGGGCATCGGATAAAGACGTGTACGCTTGAAGAAAGGCGGAGTTGATGGACTTGGAATGGTTCGTGAGGAGGTCAATGAAGGTTTGGTATGCTAGTACAGGTTAGCAGGCGCTTCCATGTGAGGTTGAGTACGCAACGCACCCTTCAACAACCCCTTGACCTCAGACAGCTTCGTGGCATCGTCGAGCTTCCTGAAGTCCTTGGTCTTCTGCGCCAACTCCTTGCGCTGGACGGTCGAGTCTCTCTGGTATGCGACAATCTCGGACGCGGTGTTGTCGAGGTTCGAAACGAGGTTGGTATAGTCAATGGCTATTTCGGTCAGTGGAAGGTACAGACACGCGGCACACAAGCTTCTCCCTACTTCTCCATGCTGAAATGGCGTGTTGAAACTTGTTGCCGCCGTCCGGAACAGATTGGCCAGGCCTGTCAATATTCTGGGAATTGGCATCGGCAGCCAGGACTGATTCGACGAGATCTGCCATGTCTGCGGTGGTCGTCGATGGCAGTGAATAGGTTACTTCATTACTAAAAACCGGTGAAAACGGCAGGTCTGAACAGTGTCAGCAGGATCGTGAGCTGCTGAGCTTGAGTTGAGTTGAGCAGGTGTTTCGGGTGAGCTCTGGCTCCGAGAACGTGTTCCCTTTCCCGGCAGCCAATCAATTGGTTGCAGGAGGCATCTAGGGGTGCACAGGCAGCCAGCTGATCGCTCCGTGCCTGTGGAGCCACCAAAGTACCCCCAGGCGCGTCGCACTTCACCTCACATGCCTGCGCCGGTAGGCCGGCAACTGCAGGTGAGCCCACTGTTGACTTTCAAAGCTGGAGGCGCTAGGGAGGTGCCTACGTAGGTACCTACGTAACAGCGCGGGAGCTGTTCCATTGAAACCTGGAAGCCTGAACCTGGTGTCTTCCACCACCAGCCTCTAAGCTCTCCGATTTCCAGCCGCAACACACTGCATCGTCAACTTCAATTCAACATAGCTCGACGCTTAGACTCAGCGAGAAGCGATGGCATAGCAGCACCGATGACCGCACGATCGACCGAAAATGGCCTCCGAAGATCCAGACGACCAACGCTCGTCTGCGTCAGGGAGTTTCGATGCGATAAGCCGCAGTGACGGACCCTTCGTATTGCGCACACTGCTAGACGAAGTACCCTTGTCTGCAGATGGCGCTGCGGACGGTGTCAAGATAAACTGCGTAGAGTATTTAGGTTGGAAACCTTGACGAATTGTTATGCTCCTAACTGACACTGCCAGATCACAATCTTTACGTCGGCACGAGCGCATCCGAGTTGCTTCACTTCGTCCAAATCCCTCCCGACCCCGCCGATCCGACCGGACGATCTTTCATAATTGCTTCCAGACTGCGGCCAGCGTTTTCTGAGTCTAGCAGTTCTCGCCCCGGGGTACAGCAGATTCTACTCCTGCCCAAGGTTGGAAAGGCTTGCATTCTCTGCAACTGGACTGTTACGTTCTACTCGCTCCCCGAGTTGAGTCCTGTATTCGGGACCACACAAGTAAAGAACTGCAATTGGGTTGGCGGCGTGGACCTGAATCAACCACAGGATGATGATGGTGATCCAGCGGCCGGAGTGTTCATCCTCCTCTCGCTAAACCGGAGAATCCAAGTGGTGAGGATTGGAGAAGTAGCGAGAGCAGTCAAGGTACTTTTGCAACTCTTTCGTCAAGGCCAAAGCTGACCTCATCAGAATATTGACGTTCCCGGGACCACGATCTCAGTACGCAGAGACTCTATTGCGTGTGTGGCAGACGCTAGAAGCTATTCTCTGCTCGATGTCGACAGACAGCTGCGTATTCCCCTCATGACGATTTCGTCTTTGGACGACTCGCAACCTGCCGGAGAAATCGGCCAAGCCCAGGATATCGCCGGCAGCACTGATGGAGGCATTCTGCGAAGCGCTTCCGCAGCTCATAACCGCCCGTTACTGTCAGCTGGCGACCCCCATGGACACGCTAGAAGCACGAGTCTGGGTGGACTCCTCAGCGGCCGTAGGGACCAGAGTCCTCGAGCAGCGGATGATCGTGTGCTTCAAGGATCGTCACCGCCAACGCCGTCAATTAGCCCCAGGCCCTCAGGCGAGGCTCAGGTGCCGCCTCCATCGACGGACAAGCCGCTACCCGCTGCTCCAGGGCCTCAGACATCCCCGACAAAGCCCACTCCCGTATTTCTGAAGCCACACATAGTTTCTCCAACGGGCGAGGAGTTCTTGCTTGTGACCGGCACCGGGCCACTTGACCCCGGCATAGGCATGTTCGTGAACCTCGATGGTGATCCTACACGGCCGACTGTTGAATTCGACAGATATCCACGAGAGGTTGTCGTAGACGGCGGGTCAACCGACTTGTCTTCATCAAAAATGACACTTGGGACTGACGAAGAGGGCTATGTGATTGCATCCATGACAAAAGATTTTGAAAGCGGACTGCGCCACGGCTTGGAAATTCAGAGATGGGACTCTGATGGAACAGATCCAGAGACATCAAAATGGTGGCTTGAAGCAGACTCCGTGAACAAAGACGAGACCTCTCCGTTGGGAATCAGGTCGCTGATGGGTACCGACGAGACACATTTTGACGAAATCATCGACAGACTATGCCAGAGAAAGTTCTCGCCGTTCTCTGGAAGTGGGCTCGAAAATCCCATTTTCTCACCACGAAGCGCTGATGCTCGCACAGCGTCTTCATTGGAGCAAATGACTAAGGAACGCGAGCTTTTTGAACGCGATGTCGACTCTCAAGAGGAAGACGCCTTGCCCGAAGGGTGGGAGGACAGTCGGAACGCAGAAGAAAAGGAGTTTGCAAGAAGGCTAGCAAGCGCCAATTCGAGGATAGCAGTGTGGTCGGGCAACCACATCTGGTGGGCTATCCGCAATCCCATGCTGCTGCGGTTGGAGGCGCAATTAGACGCTGCATGCGAACAGGAGGGGACATTCAACCCTGCTAAACTTGACCGACATGCCATCTTCACCGTCTTGAATTCGTTCAGGGGCCAAGATGCAAAGTCGGAACTAGAGTTTGTCACTTTCAGCTACTTGCGGCAAAGAGCTGGCGTCTTGCTGCTCACCAGCCTGCTTCATGCTACAGAATCGCCGTTTTCAGATGCTGAGGTAAAGGCTTTGGAAGAGGTCTTAGTAGACAGCAGTCTGGATCCTCGCGTCGTCTTATCGCTAGTTCCTGGCGTGCGAAACGAGATCGTAGAAAGCCGCAGAGGCATCTGGATCTTTGGCGGCGTCAAGACGACAACGGAAAATTACCTCGAGAGCGAGCACTTCCCAAAAGCCAGCCACTCCATTGGGGACCTTGACATTAAGGTTATGCAGTTCTTACGACGCTTCCTCTCTGCATGGCGCAAGAAGAAGGGCTTTGGCAGCGTTGCGGACGAAAGCGAGGTATTCCGAACAGTCGATGCCGCCTTGCTGTTGATTCTCCTCGAGCTCGACCAAAACTCGCCGAAAGGCCTCGCAAAGAAGAGTTCGTCAGTCAGATCAGAGCTATATGACGTCGTCGATAAGGGCGTTGACTGCTTCGACCGGGCAGCCGGACTCTTGGAGACTTACCACCGCCTATTTGTGCTCAGCCGACTATACCAGAGCCGCAAATTGGCCGGCGACGTACTCGCGACGTGGCGTCGTATTGTCGAGGGGGAACGTGACGATGGTGGTGAGCTGCGTGACGGCGAGCAACGCGTCCGAGAGTACCTCACAAAAATAAGCAGTCAGGCACTTGTACGTGAGTATGGAGTGTGGCTTGCTAGTCGCAATCCCAAATTGGGAGTGCAGGTTTTTGCCGAAGACAAAGGCAAAGCGCCCAAATTCGAGCCGGCGGATGTCGTGGAGATACTTCGTGAAGAGGCCCCTGATGCGGTCAAATACTACCTCGAACATCTCGTCTTCGGCAAGGGTCACACAGGATACGTCAATGACCTTATCGCATACTACTTGGACATCGTCATCAGCGACCTCGACTCCTCACAAGAAAGACGAGACGCGTTTGCTGACACGTACACGGCATATAGAGCGCTTCAAGCACCCAAGCCGACATATAGACAATTCCTCACAGACAACGCACCAGAAGAGGATGAAGTATGGCACAGCCGCTTGAGGCTGTTGCAGCTTCTCGGTGGCGCCCATCACTACGATGCCGCCGCCATCAGAGATCGCATATCGACCCTGCCCGACGAACTACTGGTTCCGGAGATCATCATTCTAGACGGGAGGGAGCGGCGGCACGAAGACGCCATCCGCCTGCTCGTGCACAAGCTGGGGGATTACGACACGGCCGTCTCATACTGCTTGCGCGGGGGCTCTAGCATTTACACGCGCCCCGATGGTAGACGCGAGAGCACGCCGACACACGAGATGCAGGCACGGCTCTTCCGGGCAGTCCTGGGCGAGTTCCTCGCCATCGAGGATGTCAGCGACCAGATTGAGCAGACGGGTGCGCTTCTGGAGCGGTTCGGGGGCTGGTTTGATGTCGAGGACGTCCTCGCGCTCATACCGGACGAGTGGTCCGTCGACGTGGTGGCTGGTTTCCTCGTCACGGCGCTACGGCGGATCACGCAGGAAAGACACGAGACGACGGTGACCAAGGCGCTCAGCTCGGCAGAGAACCTCCGGGTAAATCACGACCTGATTGTCAAGGTAGATGAGAAGGGGCCTTCCATCGAGGCGCCAAATTAGTAGTAGGAGCGCATGTAGATAATCCGGCATGTAGACAGAATAGTAGCAAGCGATATCATGGCATTAAGCAAGCTTCGGTTCCAGCAACGGGATTCCAAACACGTTCACTAGGACTGACCTGGTCCGGACTGCAGTCGGCGGAGCCCGCCCGCTCCGAGAGCCCGGTCGCAACCCGTCGGGTGCGGCGGATACGACGGAAGGCCGGCCGCGCGTCGAAATGGGCAACATGCAACTCACATTCTGTAGCGTGAATAGCAGTATAAGGGGTGTCGTCACTATGTGTAAGGAAACGCTCGTCGCCGCTACTCGTCACGTTTGCAAAGACAAATGCACCAATGCCTACGAAAGCCCGTGACGCACCGCCTCCTCCCAATCGGCCTCTGCCGCCTCTCCCCGGGCCGCCTCGCGAAAACACACGGACAACAACGGTGGGTAGGGAACGCACTCATCCAGATCTCGCGATGCTCATGCACGCAGTGCTCACTCAGCTCAGCTCAGCTCCGATGTAGTCCGTTACAATGTAATGGTCCGGTGACGATGGTTGTCTGGGATCCGTAGATCCAGAAGCCTGCGGAAACCAGCGCAGCTGAAACTCTTGGGAATGACATGACGCAGACGCAGGGGAAGGCATGTGTTGAGCGGTCTGCCACACTTGACGGCAGTTACTGGGCGGCGGAGGACTCCGATGTGATCGGAAGGATGTGATCGGAAGGGGCCCAGAGACGTACACTCATAGACAATGGCATGTCGAAATAGAGACGAAGACAGAGGGAAGGGAGCACTCGCAGACCGAATACAAGGTGAAAAATTTCCTATCAACTGGGCGCACGCGTCTCTTCCATTGGCCCGTTCGTTCCAGTCCCGAGTTCGGCCGTAGCACCAGGCAAAACATCTCAAATACCTCCGCCATGGTGTCGTTTCGTTTCGTGGTTCTTCCAAATACTCGGCTCAGTCAGCAGAGCTTGTCGATGACAACACATGGTCTAGGTGAGCCATGTTTGATCGAAAGGGGCCCAGTACATCGTTGGGTCAAGCCACTTGGGAACGAGGGGGCCAATCGGGAGCTGTAGCCGAGCTCGATACAGCTGAAAGGGCGGGTTCAGACTCAGCCGCACCGGGGCAGAATGCGGCCGCTGGCGGGGGAGCTAGCTGTCGTCGTGCGCCGTGCGGGCGCTATTCGCTTTTGCATGAACAAAGGTTCCCCCAAGATAATTCGTGCTCAGCTGAAGATGCGCGTGCCTTGGCCTGGATGTTTTGAGAGAGAGGGTAGAGAAGGAGGGGGCAGGTAGTGCATGTAATGGGTGGTATGGCGCCTGTCAGACACAAACGTTGATATAAGTGAGCCGGCCTCCTCACGCAGCGTCAACTTTTGCCTTTCGCTTCAAGACGCCGCACACCAACCAGCGTTTCCTGATGCTGGCGTCCTCGATGCCGCGGTCCCAAACCCACTCCCGCTCGACGCCGTCGCAGTCCCGTTCCCAGATGCTCTCGATCTCCAGCCCGGCCTCGGCAAGAGCGGCCTCGTCGAAGAAGCCGCGCATCTTGGGCCTCCCCGTGTGGAAACCGGCCACGACCCAGCAACGCGCCTCAGGACTGTTGCGGAGGAACCAGGCGGCGGACTTGTGCAGGTTCGCGTGCTGCCAGGGCATCCACAGGCAATCGGCGATGAAGACGCGGTCGAAGGCGTGCTTGTTGGCGACGGAAAAGGGATCTTCCAGCTCGCCCCACGAATGGCCCTCGACGAGAACTTCCTTTGCGGTCAACTCGCCGGTGGGCGAGACGGAGGGGTGGATATTGCGGTCGATGTTGGTGCGGAGGGTCTTGAGCACGGCGGGGGCGGGGTAATCGGTCACGGCGGTGCGGACGGCACCCAGGAGCGCGGACATGATACTCGGAATGGCGGTGCCGGCCCCGAGCTCGAGGGTGGTCAGCCCGCGGACGTCGAAATGGGACACGACCGGACCCAGATCCGACTTGACGGAGTCCAAGCCCAGGGTGCCGGCCTCGACGAATTCGCCCAGCTGCAGACTCGAGTTCCACAGGTAATGGCTGAATAGCTTCCTGTCTTCATCGGCGCTGGGTTCTGCGAGGTCGAAGCGCAGTGGCTTGCGCAGGTGCGGAGAGGCGTACTCAATGCCATCGTCGGCGTCTCCGTGCTGGTTGGTGACGTCGTCGGGGAACATGACGCCTATAGAGCCGACGAAAAAGTCCTCCGGGGACTCGGTGGGCGGGCCGATCAGGGAGACGCGGGATGTCAGCGCCATGACGGAAGGCAGGACGAAAGAGCGCCGGGGTGGTGAGATGGGAGATGGGGGGGGGCCGCCACGAGGAAGAGAGAGGCTTGGCTACCGACAGGGCCGGGCGGGATGCTGCGCCGAGACGGGAGGAGGACGGGACGACGCGGGGGAGGCGGAGCGGTGGACGAGGCCGGGGACCGAGCGATTGCGATTGCGACGACGACGACGAATGCGGCGGTATTGCTGGCGATCCCGGAGCTGGAGGCGGTAGGTCAGGTAAGAGTTGCGCACCGTGACGTGGGACTTCGAAATGGGAGAATTTGTCGCATGTGTGGAAGGAGGGGGAGGGGTTTGAAAATGTCACTGTGCCCCGCCGATTGCATGCACTTCCTGGCTGCTCAGGGCAGTTGTCGCCAGTAGAGCAGCGTTTCGGTTTCCTCAGGTAAGTGGCAGCGGAAACACTGCCACTGAGCAAGCGCCAGGGACCGCTCCCTGTTTGGCGTTGAGCCGCATCGCGGCATACCTAAATGCAGGGGTGCTTGGGCTTAAAAGGCCCTTATAAGCTGGCCAACAATAGCGCACATCCTCGCTAAACATGAGGTGGAAGGCCATTCGGGGGCCTCCTGCTGAATTGCGGTCAAGGTCCCGACCTGGAGGCAAGCAGATTCCCGGTTCGGATCTGCGAAGTTTGCACATGTTTGGCAGTGGAGATGGCCCCATCTGGCACCTGGCATCTGGCACCTCAGCCTGTCGGATGCTGCCGCTCCACAGCCACACAGCCACGCCGCTGTTTCTCTCGCCCCCACACTCAGGCGGGCAGCCTGCATTTGCACCGCCCCTCGGGATCCGCTGGTGGCTAGTGTGGTGTCAACCCCGGCCGCTGACGACAATTCCCGGCATCCACTTCCACAACTGAACCGGTCTGACCGGAAGGCTGTGCTATGCTTCGCACGAGACTTGCCAGGCCCGGTGATGCAAGTGCACAACACACGGCAGATTATTCGCTGCGAGCGTGAGCACTCTAGTTGGAACAGGATCTGCTTGTTTCGACGGCGGTTTTTCCTGTCAAAGCTGTCAACGAGACCCATTGGCCTGATCTGATAAGGTAATTCCACAAAGTCATTTTCATGTCACCTTCCATCAACCTGGGTTTGATTCACTATTACGTTGAATCTATTTTGCCTTCGAAACTTCCTCTTGTATGCAAACTCCCACCCTCGACTCTCCAAGACATGCAATAAGCGTTGGAAATCCTTCACCGAGTGTAATTCTCGCCAGCGCGTTGGTTCTAACAAGCATGGCTGCCGCCTGGCACCCTTCTGAGCATGTCAACGCGCCTGAAGGCGTCCGTTCTGTACATGCACATGCCCCATAACCAATAGAACATTCAGTCGGGTTCTCGCGTTGTTGTTTCTATCCCTGATTCCCTGTCAGATGTCGACACAAAAGACTTGACGTCGGTGCAGTCTGCCGTGATACCTCCGCTAGGGAAGGCACCTACCTGCGCCTTCGGAAGTTGAACCCCGACAACAACGTGGATGCCCCATGCAAGGTGCCACCCAACTTATGCATGGCTATTTTCGACGTTTTGTTCGACTCGGGTCATCTTCACAGGCCTCCCGCCCCGACCCATTGGTTCGTTTGATGAAGTCATTCTCGAGCCCCCGTCTGCCCGTCGCCCGCACCCCGGCCTGTCGTTTCTTTGAGAGAAGTCACGAACAAGAACCCAGGTCCAGGGCCAGATCCGACCCCGTGACCTGGTGGTCGTCGACCGGGGCCCTTACAGCGGGCCAATTGTTTCAGGTATCATATGGCTGCCTGCTGGCGCTGTTGTTGCACCGAGGATACGATTATCCAGATTGGGTTATTGCTCGTACCTTGATTGTCGGCGCACAAACCGTGGTCAATCGAGATAGGCCTGTAGACCACGCAAGTCTCCAGCAGAGTCACGAAGCAAGACGAATCGAGGAACAACGAATCAAGTAAAGAGCCTCGTATTGTACGATAAGCCTTGAGAGTTAGGGTATCAACCAAATACACCTTTCGCGGTGCTGTACATGAGCCATTCCGTCCAATCATGAATCCTGAGGGTAGTTCCCTAGTAATCCGTTCGTCGTCCATACAAGCCTGCGCCAGCCATGCTCCAACAGAATTTTCCCACCGTCGCTTCATGTAGTAGTAGTATATATGCAAAAAAAACAAAATTGTGAAACGGTTCCTCCTCCGCCGTCATCCATTAGCAGCCCTCGAGCATCTCGTGCATCTGCCGAAGTTGCTCCTCTGTGGGATCGTCAGAGATCCACGGTCCCTTCTCCTCGTCCGTCGCACCCAGGAAGCCCTCGGCGCGCTTCAGCGTCTGGACGTCGAGGTCCGTGACGTAGTTGGTACCGTCAGCCAGCTTGATGCGCACTTCGTGATCCGTCGAGAGCATCATGTCGTCCTTGGCCAGCCGGCGAGGGCCGTCGAACACCGCCATGACGCGCTTCTTCATCGTCATCTGGCCCTTGTCGAAACCCCAAGACGAAGGGTAGTCGCGGCGGTTCTTGCGACCCTTCGCCTTGACCGGCACGGGGCCTCCGCCGCGGGAGTGGGTGAGACCGCGAGACTTCTGAACACCGTTGACTGGGTTGCCCTTGCGCTTGCTTGGCGAAGTGCGGTGCTTGCTGTCCTCGTCGTCCTCGTCGTCCATCTCCTCATCATCATCGTCCTCCATGGATGCCGTCTGTGTCTGCGTGGGGAGGTGGTTCTTCTCCAGGGTCTGGTGCACATCCTTGTCGTTCTCGACCTCGGCCAGACGCTGAGCGTTGATGGCCTCCGCAGGGTCCTCCTGCTGCACAATGCGCAGCACACAATCGTCCAAGTGCTCGTAGAAGTCCTGAGCGTTGGAGAAGGTCTGCGAACAGGTCGAGCATTTGCCGGTGGCATCGGGAGGGTAGCCGGCGAGCTTCTTGCCGCTGCTGGCGGTCGTGCTCTTCTTGCGGCTGTTGGGCGGTGTCTGCTCCACTCCGTGAACCGCCGTCAAGTGGCGCTTGAAGACATCGGCGCGGTTGAAGGACTTCTCGGCGGCCGAGCCTGATCCCGGGCAGAAGCCGCACACCATCGTGCCCTTGTAGTGGGTGAGGGTGTGGCGGTTCTTGTCGTACTTGCGCGCGAAGCCCTTGATGTGGTAGTCGCACGTCACGATCGGGCACTTCTCCGGGCGCTCGTTTTGATGGGTGAGCATGTGCGCCTTGAGGTCCTTGAAGGTCTTGCCGCACTCGGGGTGCGGGCATCGCTGCTTCTCCTTGGACTCATCGCCACTGTAGCCGTTGCCGTCTGAATATGTCGAGGGGAACGAATGGAGGCTGGGGCGGCGGGCGTCGGCGGGCGTGGCGTAGGGGCTGAACTGCTGCTGGAAGCCGCCGTGCATGAAAGGCGATTGGCTGCCGGGTCGGATCATGGGTTGGGACGAAGCGGACAGAGCGGGCGACGCGGGATACTGGGGGTGGTGGAAGTTGGGATCGAAGCCCGGCATCGGCATGGGCCGGCTGATGTCGGGGTGAATGAGTGAAGGGTCTGGAGGAGAGGGTTGGTCAACATTCGGTTCTTGGCAAGGATGTCGCTGTTTGACAGAGGAAAACCAACAAGAGGAACCAAGAGGAGGGACGAAATGGCCACTGCTCTGAGAAAAGAAAGTAGAGACTCGCGGAGTCTTTGGCGAGTTGCTCCAGGCTGGTGCCGGAGGCGAAGAGAAAGAAGTAGAGGGAGACACAAAATTCGCGCCGGACTTGCGCGACGCGGGAGACTCGGGCGAAGAGGACAGCCGCGTGTCCAAAACGAGGCCAGGCTCCCGTGAGGTAGAAGCAGTCTCGCGCGCGGCAGCAGCAGAAGACGAGGAAGAAGAATATGAGAAAGAAGCCCGGTGAGAGGCTGCGAAATGAGAGGTTCTAGAGACGTTCTGCAACTCACCCACGAAACCCGGGGGTTTGGTGTTTGCAAAGTCGAAAGCTGCAAAGTCTTCCATACCTGGGCCGGCGTAGGTCGAGTACTCAGTACCCGTGGTGTTGTAGTAGTCGTGGGGCACAATGCCCGGGGTGACAGCGATGCCGGGATGCGTCCATTCGGGAACAGGCACCGGCTGGTCGTGATGCGACTGCGGCGAGCCCACGTTGGACGAGGCCGCCGAGGGAGCGGATGTGGTAGAGAGGTTGGATGAGGGCAATTGGTAGTCGCCGTCCTCGTACAGACCGGGCGAGGTGCGGTTCTGGTAGATGAAGTTGTTCTCGTAGACGGGAGATGCCTCCATGGGCATCGAGGTCGGGAACATGTAAGAGGCGTCGGCAGGGATACTCATTTCCATGGGCGCGGTGGTGAAAACTCCTTGGGGTGGTTCGGGGTAGAGAACGTAGTCGTCGTGCTCAGAGCCGAAGTGCTTGGGGAGCACGTTATATGATTGATCTATCGAAACCATGTTTGCGGTCAAGTCCGAACCGATGATGGATGGTGATGTTTATAGAGTCGTAGAGAGCAAAAAAGAGCTGTCGCGTTGTCCGAGCAAAGCCACAATGAGAGTTATGCCGTCACTGCTATTGGATTGCAGTCTTGTTAGTCGTCCGTACTTTTTTGGGTGGTTTTCCAACTGCTGCTGCTGCTGCGCTTTCGCTGTGCTGTGCTGCGCTGCGCTGCGCTGTGCTGCGCCTGCTTTTCAAGTGGGGCCGGGGAGCGCACCTGCAGCGATATTCATGCCCGCGGCGTTTCCGCGCTTGAGATACCGACGGTTTGGATGATTGGTGACTGAGAGCCGGTGTAAGTGGTAGAAGACCGCGGTGACGTTGTGATGTTTGCAAAAAGATGTCGTTGAGGCAGCCGGCCGGTCTGATAACACACTACTGGTCGATTTGACTTCTTTTGTCGGGTCTTGTTGCGTTGTTCCAACTTCTTTCCCTTCCTACTGCTGTTGCTGTTGCTGCCCTTGAGGTGGCAGGTGAGGTAGAGTGAAGCGAGGGTAGATGACTTGGTGATATGTCTTCTCAAACCACGAGAGACAAGATCGTCGTCGACTTGGGCGTTTGTTGAACCAAAGATCTGGGACTAATAGAGATGAAGACCGATGGGGGCGGGAAACAATCATGGAGAGGCCTTGGGGGTCCACGACTGATATAGAAGCCGCGCTGGTATCGAGACAGAGACACGCAAAACTCGTAGACGGGGGGCCACATGGGTCGTGGACGGCCATGGCTTGCTTGTTGATGGCACTTGGGACCTGGGGACTTGTGGCCGCGGATCGCTTTCCCCTCTATCTTACTCTACAAGACGCAGCGCAGCGCAGAGCATTCGCAGTAAACACCCCTCCCCAGGGCCGAGTGGGCGATGGGCCAGCACCCAGGGGGCGGAGGGGTGAGGTTCTGCACTAGGAACTCGTAGGGCAGAGCAACAAGCAAGCAAGCACCGTCAGTAGCGGCACCAGCAGCAGCAAAAGAGGCGGTACAAGCAGCAAGAGCAGCACCCAGCAGCAGGGGTCAGGGGGGAGTGGTGTGGTCGTGGTGGTGGTCGTGGTGGTGGTGGTGGTGGTGGGAAGGGGGGCGTGTAAGGTGAGGTGGGTGTGGACAACGACGTGCGGGTGTGGGTGAGAAAAGTGGTGGCTGCTTGTCGTCGTTCGTTCTTGTTGTTCCTCCTCGACTCCTCTGGCTTCTTTTCGTCTGCCCTTTTTTTCTTCTCGCTTCATCGATACTTCATTTAGCGCAGATACGCACGAAAATGAACTAGCCCAGGTTGACTTGGTCGGGGCTGGCTAGGACGCCGGGTACTAGAGCCACGAAACATGCCCATACCAGACTCGGTCTTCGACTGGCGTGTCTTTTCAAGGACCCAAGAGGGCGTGCGTTACGCTGCGTTGCGTTGCGCTTCTCGTTGTCTCTGCCAGCAATGCGGGATACCAAGATCTGTCTCTGGATTGGTCTCTCATTTCTATCCGTCATGCCTCTGATCCGTCTCCCGCGGTGGTGTGCGACAGAGACAGACAGCAGCGGTCTTTGGAAGAAAAGGAACTCTTCGAGTGCCAACCAAACACACATGTCCAAGGCGACAAAATGGGCGCGGAAAGCGAGCTTGTTGAGTATCGTGGTCCGTCCTGCACGGCGGTCTTCGAGCATGTGTCGATGGGAGGTATTCAGTACCTCTGCTCCGCGGCTGGTGGCCTCCCACTAATAGGTCACACACACCCACTGCCACCCAGTATGATGGCTGTCAAAGCCCCGTCGACATGCACCATTAGGCCCGCCAGACCCCGGCGACTTGGGCCTTTGGACGACCCAGCACAAAGAAGCTCCGTACAGGATACTTTCCGCGTATGGTGTCCAGACCCTTGCCTCTGGCTCGAACCCTTCCCCCCTGGGCGAACCCAGGACTCCAGGAAGTGGGTTTGCAACTGAGTGCGAGAAAGTGCGAGGTCCAACAGGGGCAGAGAGGTACTGTACAAAGCAGGCCCAAATGGTGACTTGCCCATGACCCATTCGAAGGTGTCCGACCCTGTCTGTAGTGGACAGTGGACAGAGATCGTTGAAGCCGTTCCTCCGCCAGTCAGACGTGGCCTGGGAGTCTGGGACGTCGCTCTCCGCCGCGGGATGCCGAGCCTGTCTGCAGCTTGCGGAGCGTGATTGGATCTCTTCGTGATGAAGGCTATCGAGCCGGAATCCATGAGATGCTGCCGAAACCAGTCTTTGCGGCACGACACGGCACCGGCCGTCCCAAGTATGCCGTTTGCGCTTCCTCCTGACGGCTCCCTGTCCTCACTCTCATCATCAAAGTGTTATATTGGATCTTCGTTTGCCAACATGCAGGTAGCATTGGCGATGGGTCTTCTCCAGGTCCAAAGCCTGCCGCCTAAAGCCTTGGGGTTGGGCATTCGAGGCTTTCTTTTTCCCCTCGACTCCTCGCATCGATGGCCTCGTAAAACCCAATTGCAAATTTCAAGGACTGGCGGGACATTCGATGTCCTGCATATGCTATTCTGATGGCGGTAAAGCAACGCGAGTGCCCAAAAAAAGAAAACCCAGAATCGTGGGCGTGAGGCAGACGTACTCCGTGCTGTGTTCTGCATGATGCGATGGTTTGCTCTTCAAGAAGCTTGCTCGACGACCCGACCACAGCCCCCTTTCGACGATGGTAACCAGATTCTTGCTAGCGTAGAGACCATCGGTGTGTCTGACGTCCCCGTTCTGAACCGGTTGCTGCGTGCGTTGTCCTAGAAAAGGCATAACCCTCTCCGAAAATGGTCCGTCATATGCGACGGGGAGACCAAGCATTCGGCTTGTGGAGGCTCTGGCGGGAGGGCTGTAGTGCAAGGTAGGTAAGGTAGGTATTCGTAGGTTGAGTTGGTTGCTTACCGTACCGTACCTGATAAGGTAAAGTAGGTAGGTAGGGTGGTCTCTGGGGATATTTTTATTCACTGCACACTGCACTCTGCATATAGAATGCGCTGTGCTGTGCTAGTCCGGCATCATCTCATCGCGATTTAGACGGTGTGTCCAATAAGCAGCGACGCTTCTCTCCCCACGCTCGCATACCGCTTCTGAATATTCGTAGGTAGTTGGTGTGCACAGCCCGCCTTTATCCGTCCCTCAAGCTTAAAGTGTCAGTCTTCGCAGTCTCCCAGAGCCATACTTAGTTACCCCATGGCGGTGCTTGGTGTGTGTGGGTTGCACTGGTGACTGAATACAGCAACGCAACCTACGCCTCCTCTCCAGGTAATGGGTCGATGTACGGACGGAGAGATCCTGCGTATCTGCCTCTCTTGTTGGCCAGTAAATGTTGTTGGCCCTCCCGTTCGTCTCGGATGACGATGCGCGTCGGCATCTTGTTCGCATCGCAGTTCCCCGAAATGGCAACATGCCAGCTCAATTTATCAAGCCCTCGGAGTCTGATGGGTGAGGCAGCTTGCATCGCACATGTCCGACTGGCAGAGACAAGATGCGGCCCATGGTCTGTGTTGAGCAGCCCAGTCCAGACCGCAGACCGCAGACACAGACACCGGTCCCAGTCAAAACGTCGTGACTAAGAGCCACGACGAGAACTCCTGAATAGAGTTTCACCAGTCAAATGCAACTGAGTCTGTTGTCTGTGATGCCATGCCAATCCGGAGTGGTGGGTTAGTAGGCTGGTTCAGGGTTCAGACGTTGGAAAGGTTCCAGAGTCAATCGGTCGTAGTCACCACACGCTAGACCTGCGCAACACGACATCGCTCTTGTGAGGCGTACTTCGTCCAGTCCAAGGCCAGACTTCGAAATGATCCGTCCGAGACTTGATCTTGGTGCAACCGGCCCCTCGGGAAACGTACGTGCGATGAGTGGAGACGAGAGTTCTGTGGTGGTTAGATGCTTCTCTCAGTCTTCAGTGATGGCACCAAGCACTGGCCGTTGTGAGACGCCGACCTGGTCGCCACCTCGAAGCTTCACTCAGGTCGCTAGTTACGCCTCCTTCCATTGTGGCTCTCAGTCGGGCTTCTAGATAGCTCTCTGTGGTTTGTTGACTTGCCCGCCAGTCGCGTGCCCGAGACAGACCGGTATTTTGAGAGTCGTTGACAGACCGTCGAGTTGCATCGGACGCTCAAAAGATGCCCGCAATCTCGTCCGCCGTCGTACCGGACAGTGCTGACTAGTGTTAGCGCGGGACACCGCGACTGAGTATTGAAGCAAATCGTTAGTCTGCTGCTTTACGGCCGTTGCCGCACGGGCATACCACGAAGTCCTCTACTTGTTCAGGAAGACTTCGCGATGGCACCTCACGTCTGGTCCATGGTTCCGGGAGAGTGACATTGTGGACAGCATACTTTGGTAGTCGAATCCAGATGTAGACGCATAGGGGCCGTTTCGTTTGACGAGTATTCGCACGCTATTGCCAGCATTCCGCATCATGGGTTGTCGGCCAGGGACATCGCACACGCGGCACCCATTGCAGACCACAAAGTCGTCTACCCACGAGAAACTGACGAGAGTCGGCACGATCCAACCCCGTCCATCGAGACATGAAGCCCGAAAAGGAATAGTGGTGGCTCATCCAGCTAAGACCATCAACAGCGACATATGATTGGTGCCTTTACGGTGTGCACCACCCTTGTCATGGAGATAGTCAAAATCTTTAAAAAGAAATTCAGGAGGCGGTGCAACCCTGGCTGCGTTCACCAGCCCCGATGAACCCCAACCTTGCCAAGGGTTGCCAGAGAAAGCATGGGCGAGGGTATCCAGTGACTTGGTCGTCCACCAATGTTTCACGCGGGTGGCACGTAGTAGTACCTGGTCGCTGCCATCCCGCTTTCCTGGTAACGTGGATGCGCCCTACCGACACGAGTTCTTGTCTCCCATCACCCCTGCGGTCATCAAACACAGCAGCATGTCGATAATTGTCATGTACTATTGATGTCCCCATTTGGAGAGAGCCTCTTCAAATCTCTTCGCCGCTCGTCATGCGGTGTTG